GAAATAATAAGAAAGTAAAAAGATACACAATAACAGTAATTGAAAGTAATCACACTGCCTATGAAGATTCGATAAATTTAATGGCTGATGAACCATCAAAAATGCAATTTTCGGCAATCAGACTCTATACATTTGTTTGGTCTGTTGCTCTACTTCTCCGTCTTGGATTTGGATCGTCTGTATTTCAAGTCAAATTAATCTTATTTTATCGGATAACTAACAATAAAAAATAGCAACAAAAATCTCAAATACCATCAGTAAATGTAGGTTGGCGTAGAACATTCGTTAAGACTTTAAATCAAATTTAATATGAAATATAATAAATAATAATATAAAAATATGAAATATCACCAGTAAATTGATAAATACGGTATTGCAAAGAACCATCTAATGTGTAATAAATAGTATATTACAGTACAAGAGACGAAAGTCGAAGTTCCGCCACTGCTTGAAGTTGACGCCCGTCGCGAAGCTTTTTTTTTGACCCTCGGTGGAAACTAGCCGGGGAAAGTATAAGATTTGGAAAAAAGGCTTTGAAAATGTTGTCAAAACAGTCAGTGTCAAACAGTCAAGCTGTCAGCGTGCGTGGTGAAAATTACTTACCACATGGGATAAAGAAAATTAAATTGAATAATGGGCGGAGAGGTAAATTGTCATTGTCATGCCATTGTAATGAGTAAAAGTAATTCTTTCGCCATCGAAAACAATGGCGAAACTGTCTATTTTCCACCAGGTGATCAAAATAATTTTTTTTGGTACCCCCTGGTGGAAAGTACGTACTTTCGTCACTGTTTTCGATGGCGAAAGCATCACTTTTACTTATTACAAATTTTCCTCCTCCCGTGTGGAAACTAATAACTTTCGCCACGCACGTTGACAGCTTGACTTTGTCGCTGACTGTTTCGACATTAATTTTTTTTTCAAAACCTAATACTTTTGCCGGCTAGTTTCCACCGAGTATCAAGACAAATAATATACGGTACTCGAAGACGCCCGTCACTGTGTGCATGGTGCCCTCGGCTTCGCCTCGGGCGTCGACTTCAAACAGTGGCGGAACTTCGACTTTCGTCTCTTGTACTATTCCATTTCTACACTACATACTATTACAGTCCCATTACTAGCGTCCCTAGGGGGAATTAAGTGATGACGGTAGATCATAAACGCAGAAATAAATTTTAGATCTGATTTTTTAGATCAATTTTGTGGAAAATTGAATGGTATCCTAATAATGTGACAATTATTTGTAAATATATTTCCAAAGAAGCTGAGAAGGAATTAAAACTAATTTGAGCAAATTTTGGTTTTTCTTAATATCCTGGAAGTAGCATAAATTTCGCTACTTTTAAATTACTATTTTCTTTAACATCAAAAGAAGCAAATATTCCCTAGTTAATCGAAATCGTCTCTCACCTCGATTTTGTAACACCCCTGTATACGCCCACTTTTCTGTAGAACTGCTCAGAAAGTCACATCTAAAGCCTACATTTTCACATTTTGTGATTAGCTCTTATAGTATTTTAACATTTGTGTTGTGTATCTCTAAAATCAACCAACTCTCGAAATTAGACACTTTTTTGTTTTAACAGTAGATAGAACTTAAAAAGTTAACTTTATTTGTATTGATCAATTTTGCCTCATATCAAAATTAACGAAGATGTGGGGTATAAAAATATTTGCATTTTTCCACACCATCAATCTAAATGTTAACATACGTTTTAGTTTTACGCAGTTTTAACAAAATAGGCCGGCTTTTTGGTCATGTCTCAAGAACTGTTTGAACGACAGCGGTCGATTTAATACCACTGAAGTCGAGAATCAAGAAACCCATTAATCAACATACAAAAAAGTACAAATTAAGGCCATAGTTTCAATTATAACGATATATTTTCTGTAATAATTGTATAAACGCAACATTTCTTAGCATTCTGAAATATAATGTTCCCAATGTTCTCGGAATAATAATAATGTGAATTTAAAGCCACCTTCAAATTAAATGGTTTATACATGTAAGATGCTTGACTGGGTTATAAAGAACGTGAAGTTATGTTTCTTTTTCAGTGATAGATGCAAGTTATAAAATACCTTCAGGTATTTTTGACTTAAACATGGCCTGGATTGGAAGCCATAAAGAGTGCATAAACATAGAGAGCAAGTTAAATGATATAAAGGGAAAATATTGTTTAACAACTATAGGCATCGACAGCTCAACAGCTTTAAAAAGCAGCAGTTTAAATGTACAGGTGAAGTTTACATGGCTTATTATTACATTCTAGTATATTTTAATCATAATACTGTGTGATCTCAATATATGAGGCATGGTAGTGTTGGTGCGAACCGCAAAACTTTTTACAGGGTTTAACGAATTGAACGGTTTAACTTTCATGGCAACCCGAATTTAAAATTGGCATATTTGAAATCTTTTGAATTTACACATATAATTCAGCAGATGTCTGTCGTTTTATCAGTCTGTATCTAGATAAAGCTGACTAAGTTACTTTACAACATGATCAACAATTTTCTTTATTTTATAAATCTGGTGAGTGAAATGTTGTATTTATTTGTTCTTGATCGCGTCGATCGTCTGATATCATTTTAATGTTAATTCCCTAATTAGACATTCTCGAAACTTTAATTAAACGCAACTGCCGTTGGTATCGTTCCGTATTCTTGGAAAAAGGTACTTAAACCGTCTCGAAACAGAATGAAAAGTAAAAAAAATAATCAAAATTAACAAATCAAAATTCACAAAGTGACAATCTGGAATATTTTGCACTGTACAAAAAAAATCCTAAAAGGGACCTTTTTGGTACTGAAAGTGCCAAATGCTTTATCGGTTACGTTCACACATATATTTTAATGATATGAAATTTTCTTAGCTTTTTCATCTTTAAGGAGATGGCAAGTTTTAAAAAAATAGATAATTAGAAATTAGTATATTTAAGGTAGAAGTAAATAATATTAATTATATCAAATATAGAAGTATTCCCACAAATGTTAGGGTGCGTTTGAGAAAATGTACGCCAACTATAAAACTCTGAAGGACTCTCCCTACAATCCAGACTTCCAAATGGCACTAGAACCTTCTGTTGGCATCTGCATGCCGCATAAATGCAATAATGTAGATCTGGAAAGTATTTGGTCGTTATTTTTATCTGTCATTCCTTGGAGCGTAACATGCCAAACGAAAGAAAGCATCCGACCAAAGTTTACTATTGAAGTAATTCTGACCATGTAAGTAAACACACGCAAAATTGGCAGATGTTTTAAGAAATAGATATATTGTTTTTAGATGTTTTTTTGGAACATTTGTTTGCCTAATGGTACTCTCAACCCTATATGATATAGTTAAAGAGACAAGAAAAGGTAAGCATATTAACCATATAACTATCGTAAGCTTTATACTTACGTCTACATTGGGCTGATCTGGTACAAACTAAAATAATTATTTTTTTACTATTTAAATGTGAAAACAAGCGTAAACCAGTAGTTTTTCTCAATTTTTAAAATAACATTTCTTTATATTATAAGGGTGTTCCAATAAGAACGACGGATTTAAATTTTAAATAAAACATATATATTTGTGGCATAAGTTTGAAACGCTTATTGAAAAATGAAGTACACATCATGAGGTTATGAAGGAAATAAGACATCGGACAAATGACCGCCTCGGCTTTGCTGGCACAGACGTGCTCTTTCCATGAAATTTTCTAGGACTGTTTCCCATAAATTTTGCGGTATTTCAGAGATACAGTTCACATCAACTTCTGACTTAAAAAACCGCAAAGAAAAAAGTCCAAAGGCGTTAAATCGCTTGATCTGGCCGGCCGATATACCGATCTCCAAAATGAGAAATAACACGACCAGGAATAACTCGTGCAGTAATTCAACAGTTTATCTGGCTGTGTGGCATGTTGCACCGTCCTGTTGAAACCACATGCTGTTGAGATCCATATTTTGCAATTTTGACACACAAAAGTTGTTGTGGTTGTGGAAACACCAATTTCCTGAGCTCTATGCCGAATTGATGTGGTTGGGCTTTCCTCAACATTTGGCCGTACTGCTGCGATATTTTCAGTCGAGCGAACAGGACCAAAGCGTGCTTCTGTTTTCGCTTCATTAACAAACCCACTTTGCTGAAATTTCTTCATTAATTTTCTCACAGTGGCTTCAGTAGGAGCATTCCGATGGCCAATAATTGTACGCATGTTGCGAACTGTGGCTTGAAAACTTGATCCACCACCACTTTGGTATTATTTTTTCACAATGAGAATTCGTTGTTGTGTATTGAACCGCTCCAAATCCTGAAATGGCGAGCAATTCAAAACCGTCGTTCTTATTGGAACACCCTTTATATATCTGCTCTTTAAAAGTCGGAAATTCTACAATATCAAGGAGGCAACAATACGACGAGAGGCAACAATAAAATTAGGTTTAATAATTACACATATTATACAAGAAGGATTTTCGAACACAACTTGATTAGAAAATCTGGAATACAAAAAGCATCTAAAATTAGTCCCACGTTAGTCAATGCGTATTTCTATACACCCTGTATATGCATTTAAATCATTTTTCAGAAGGTTTACATAAATGCGTGGTTGCTTGATTTTGATAACTATTATTTCGGTTCGAAAGGTTTGGGTACTTAACGTAAAGTTACGGCGAAGTTAAAAATAATATATTTGCCGTGACCAAAAGGTTGCTGCATCTTTCGGTCACTCCCAATATAGCACCGAACAAGAACCGTTGGTCACAACCTTGTCAGTAAGTTCCATTGCTTACGCAAATAGCCAGAAGTTTTTTGCGACTGAAATGTTGGTGTGATAAGTACATAAAATAGTTAAAAGTAGCGCTAAAAAAGTTTAGTATTGTTTTAATCTTAGTTCGGACAAAAAACGTTCTAGGTACTAAAATGTACTGATACGAAAAGGAAATAAAGTCTTTTTTTTTTAGAATATATTTTGATCTCTCTTAGAATATATTTTGTGTATTCATATGTATTCCAAAGCATAGATAATTTATTTTTTACTCATTATAACGTTCCAATAGTTTTTTTTTATTAAAACAACACTAAATTAATTTTAAAGAATTAATTTTAAGAAAAATAATAGTAAAAATTGATTTAATGTAAAAATCCATCCAAAGGTATGTGGCTTCTGTCCTGGCTGGCAAAAACATATTATCAAAATCCGTTTATCTAAATTCTCGTGATGCTCACGTGTACTGCATCTATTTGGCGCGCGGATAGGAAAAATATTCGGTGGGAAAACGGCTATTGCAACAAATATTCCAATAGGTTTCGTCTTTACTGAAAGTAATAGCTTTTCCAGAATATATAAAATTTGATTTTTTTATTATTTTTAATTACATAGAAAGTCCTCATCAACTTCTGATGGCATTCTCTATGCATTCTAATGTAAGAAAACTATTCCGAATCACAAAAAATTCTGGAGAGTTTGCTTGTCTGAACGGAATTCGAGTACTGAGCATGATGTGGGTGATGTTTTGTCATGTATTCTTCACTACATTATATGGTCCTTTATCAAATACAATGGATTTGTACAAGGTACAGTTTCGCTGAAAGAAAATATCTACAAATTTAATGTCCAGGTAATCGTTTTTAGTTTCTGACCGATGATATTAAAAGTTTGATCATCGCTAACGCGCCTTTTTCCGTGGACAGCTTTCTCGTTGTCACTGGATTGTTAGTAGTTTATAACTTTATGAAATCCCAACATCAAGGAAAAAAATTCAACATTTTTACATACTTTCGTCATCGATATATAAGGTAAATATTATAAAACATTATCATATAAATGTTTAAGGAAAAATGTTGTTTCAGACTCACACCTCCAATTATACCAATTATGTTAGCTTGCATGTTTTTGCTGCCATTCTTTGGAAGCGGACCGTACTATCCTGAACTTGACGCGAGCATTGGTAGACCTTGCAGGCGTAGTTGGTGGGCTCTTCTTTTGCATGTGCAAAACTATGCAATTCGGTTACCGGATGTAGTGAGTAATACGTTCAATAAGCAATAATACCAATAGAAATAATTTAAGTTAAAGATGAAAAACGCTTGAATCGTTGAGGTTTTAAAAAGCAGTTAAATAAAATTGCGACAAATTAAAGTGAATGGTGAATAAAACTTCTATTGTGGAAAGGAGCCACTATAAAAGAGCATTAGCAAATTGACCTGGATTTAGTTATCCAGTGCTCGTTGATCTGAAGTCCCATCAAGGCTTCGCAAAGAATAAAGATTTAAAAGATCGATGATCGTGGACTGCGGGAAGGCATTTGACTCCGTTGAACTAAGGGCTATTTGGGCAGCAATGGAAAATGCTAGAATAGATTCGCGCTACACCAATCTTCTACAGAAATGCCACCCTCCAAGTACATATAAGTGAGGACATAACTACTGATAGGACATACAATATCACCGAAGCTGTTCACTCTGGCAATGGAGGATGTTTTCAAAAAACTACCCTGGCAGACAAATGGTATCAATGTCGACGGAAAATATCTGAATCATCTCCAATTCGCTTATGACATTCTGTTGATTAGTAACAATATACACGAGAAACCATGTTGAAACAACTAAACGAGGCATCGAAACAAGTAGGCATGAAGATTAATTAACAAAAACTTAAATTATGAGTACACAGAACACGTTACTATAGGTCAGGACATAGACAGGCTAGACGACGTTAGAGGCAACAGAACGAGCATGGTATCGCATACCCCAAAAGAAAACATCGTGGACAGAATTAAAGGAGGCGTACGCTCAGAAGAGGACAACAATGGGATACAAAGAACAACGAAAAGGCCGGAAAGGCAATGCTTTAAAAATTGTTAACCTAATACAGACCCGTCGCAAATTGAACCTTTTACAATCTATAGAAGAAACGTGAATCTGAATGTGAAGAAGAGTGCCTCTAAAGGGACACTTCCACAGAATTGCACTTTATGTTTCAAAAATTCGTAACTGCTAGCCAAGACCAGGTAGGAACTTGAAGCGTTTACGCTCTACAGGAGATATTTGAATTCTAAATCGTTAAACATTTCAATGAACTTACATGGGCATTTCATTTTTGTCACTAAACGAAATTTGGAATAAAAGTGCAAATTTTGTCTAAATTGTTTTCGGGGTATAAAAAAATTATAACTTCTAATCTACAGCAAGAAACAACTTGAAACTTCTAATCTCGATAACAGATGCTTATAATATGCTATAATAACGTGTAAAATTTCCTGAAATTTCATTCAAGTAACATTGATTCCTGATTTTTGCTCACTTAGCGAATGGACATTTCCACAAAAATACACTGTCCACTTTATAATTTCCAATCTGAAGCAAGTACCAACATGAACATTTCGCACACTATTGAAGAGGCGTGGTTCTCAAAATCCAGCAAATTATATTTAAATAGCACTAAAACTTAATAATTAAATCTGAAGCCATTACAAATGATTTTAACCTTATCAAATACACATTTTCAACCTGTTTCTTGGCCATTAATATTGGACAATTTGAATAAAAATGTAAATGAACGTGAAGAAATTACTTCAATCCAACCGCCCAAATTGCTTATCCAAATAATCCAAATAATCCAAATGAAAGAAAAAAACAAATTTGTCCAACTTTCTGCCCTTCTGATCTTCATTTAACCGGTCTGTTTGAACAGGCTCTTCAGCAGACTCTGAGCCGGAAGGAATTGCTCACGATATTGCTAAAACGTCGGATTATTTTAAAAAATTCGTTCTTTTTTACTGACTTTTTTCCTCCAGCATGTTTCACCCTCTATTGAAAAAATAAAAATTTTCAAGCAAGTGCGCTTTCTACTTAAAACAACCATAACTTGTAAACTAGAGCAAGCAGTCACTTGAAACTTTCACAATTTATAAAAGACACTCGAAACAACTCTAAAAGTGAAAGATTTGCAAATGTGGTTCGAATTGCATCATTGCGTTCAAACTGAGTAAATGTCGACCAAAAAAAGTTAAATTTTTACACAAAGGCGATCTCAAAAACGCAGGGAGTTGAAACTTTAACAATGTTCAGAAGAGATTCGAATCTGAAATCTCGAACCGTTTCATGGAAATCGCACAGAATCCTGATTTCTTCTCAACTTTGGACATTTCTTAAACTGACCTGATAAATCTTCAAATTATTGTCCATTTAATCGGCTCCCGATGTATGAGAATCCGAACCTACAGTCTTTTAAAGAAAGTGCTGCCCCTAGTAACTAACCGCAAATAACTGTTTAGAATTAAACACAATAAACATCTTCAGCCCCAAGGGAAAATTTCCACTATTTTCCAGCTGCATTAGCATAGCAGATGCCAACATACAACTATCAAAGACATTTAGGAAATACGCCGGAACGGATTAGGACAACCGTTTTTTTTATTCTACAGATACAATGAGATTTATCAAAAATGAACAACTAGATCGGAATCCTTTGTTTAAAATTGTTTTTTAAGAATTGTAAAACGCGTAAAACTGATCTAGTTGTTCGATTTTCAAATAACATCCATAAAAACAATATGTTTCCTGTAATATACAAAAAAATATAAACTGAATAAATTCTTTTAGTTGGAATTTTTTGATCAGTAGATATACTGATTAGGTACATTTTATATCTTTTACAGTGCATGCAACACGCGTGGTACCTGAATGTAGACTGGCAAGTTTACTTAGTCTCCCCTTTATTCTTGCTTTTATTGCCAAAGTATCCCATTACTGGATTATTGAGCATGTTCAGTGGGATTATGGCTTCCATGGGCGCTTCATTTTACATTACATGGGATAAGGAACTGCCCGCAAGTAACTTAAATGGGTAAAATTTCAATACTACCTCATATCATCATTGCAGTAATACAAGCATTATGATTTAGGAAATTTTTGAGCTATAGTAACACGTACTATTTTAAAACTCATACGCGCATCTCGCCTTGGTTAATTGGTGGACTTCTTGGCTATGTTCTAGCAAAAATAAAACTAGAAAAAAACATAGAATATCAGAAGATGCCAAAAGTGAGTATAACAATAAATGAACATTTTGACCTAATCCAACATGTGCATTTACAGTGGTTGATTGGTGTGATATGGATTTTAGTATTAGCTGTACTTCCAGCCTGTGTATTTGCTGGTTATGATACTCAAACCAGTTTAACAAACCATAGGTTGGACAATTCGTTTTTTAATGCATTTTCTAGACCAGCATGGGGATTATGTATAGCATGGATTATATTTGCTAGTTCCATAGGATACGGAGGCATGTATTTTGAACATTATCAAAATAGGTTACACACAAACAATTTTCCTCAAGTTGAGCTGAAATATTATTATTGTCTTTTAGGGATAATAAATTCAATTTTATCATGGCCGGTATTCCAAATACTAAACCGATTGAGTTATAGCATGTATTTACTACATCTTACCATGTTATATATAATAGCATATTCACAGAAACAAGCTAGATACTTTTCGATCTTCGATCTGGTAAGTATCCTAATAACTCTAATTTACTACTGGGCATTACGTAGAAATACGTACTTTACATATAATTTTATCTGATAAATGTTTCAGGCTTATTCTTTCTGGGGTATTTTTGCGTTAAGTTTCGTAATGTCAATATTCTGGTCAATGGCATTCGAAATACCAATATTAGAGTTAGAGAAATACTTCACGAGACATAAAGGTTCGAAAACGCAAAAGGACGTAAGTGTAATTAAATATTTAGTGTATCTGCAAAGGTGAAGATCAATTATCCATGTCGATAAAAAATGAGAGAATGATATACAGGATCAAAACGCAAAATTTTAAATAGAGTGAAAAGTTTCTGTAGATGTAGGATGTAGGCCGGCAAACCTTCGGAACTTATGCGAGAATTGCTATTTTTATAGTGTGTACAGCTCTGTGGGTCTCGTCGTAAACAGCAACTTATATTCATATTTGATTTAAACGCACTAAGAACTATTTTAGTTTTTTGAGTTTGTTCTTTTTACTCATTTGTTAATTACAGTCACGGATTATGCCTTCATTCGCAGTATTGAATACGGCAAAAAAACTAGAAACACAAATCGCAACAATTTAATTCAATTTTTTACTTATTGTAATATGAACGGATTTTGAGGTAAAAAATGGTTTATTGTTGAAGGGTTGAAATATCATTTTTACGATTGCTAAAACACTTGTTTTACATATAGGATGCTATCGTATATCGTCAATTGTATTAATTTTAAATTATCGTATTGCTGAACCAGATAAGACCGGTTGCCTTTAATAAACAATTATACATGTGTCATACACATTTGCCATAGACCAACATATTAATTCAAATGAATTTTGTCGCATTCTCAGTCATTGTTGTAACCTCATCATTTACAGAATAAAATATTTTTTATTTTAAATTATTTTAAAAATGGCAATCATACAATAACGAATGATAACTTCTTCTATCCAGAGAAACCTGAAATTTTACATAAACTTCTATTGTTTTAAACAGCAATAATATAAGGATTACTTAATTATTAAACGTACATGTTTTCAGTTCAAGCAATAGAGTTTATAATTAACGAATTATTATTAAAAGATTATTTTAAAAAATCGTCTTAAAGTTTCTCAGTAGTTTTTCAAATTAGAGTAATAACGCATAATAAACTTTTTTCTTTAGTGTGCCGCTTTATTTAATGTTTTATTTCCATACAAGTTTAACTAGCTTAAAAAAATTAAAATTATAAATAAACTTACTGAAAGGGATAGACAAGTAAATAAAATTTGTACTTCGACTTACACCAAGGTAAAGCGCCATTGAAAATGTTCCAGGTGCACATTCTGATCATTGAGTCTTAAAAAAAACATTGAATGAATTTGATAGTCATGCATTAATCAGTAAAACCAATACGAATTTTTAGGTACCACAATATTATAACAATCAGTAGTTTTATAGTTTATAACGATTTATTTTTTGCATGTCGTTTATCTATTTCTTATTCTTCTACAGATCAAGAAATCGTTCAGAAGAAATACTTATTTAGAGAGTCTTGTATAATAGATATACGTAACTAGACATCAAAATAACACATAATGTGTGGCTGTGATACCAACTCGCCTTTGAAAACGATGTGCTTTTCATAGTGTGAACTTTAACTCATTCTGTTCAATTAATTATTTGTAAAAGGTTTTTTTTGTTCCATCTTTTGTACCAGCAGCCGTTTCACTATGTTTTCCGATAAATTATTCCCATTTTGAAGAATCCTGTATATTTTATGTCACAAACGAAATTTTGAAAACGAAATGTTTCACACCTACATAGAAAGAGTTCCTGTTTTTTTTCAGACTGAATAATATTACAATAAACATTAAACTTTTTTAGGTGCCAAAAAACGGAAATGAATCTGCAATAACCATACGAACAGAGCACTGAAATAAATACAATTTTAGATATGGCAAAGGATCTTCAGTACATTATTCCAATAGCTACAAAAATTAAGCTATATGTTAATAGTGTACTATGTCTTTCTAATAGCTTAAGATATTTGTATTTATGTATTAAACGAGTACGAATGACCAACTATCCTTTCCATAAATATCCAAAGCCCAATCTAAAGTTTCCGTTTGGATAATTCGATTTTTCAGTTACGATAAAGGCTGTGTAGGGATAGGATTATCTAATTTGCAGCAGAAAAAGTGTCCATCGACCAGTGCGTTTGGACTTTGCTATTTTTAGTGCAAACTCAAAGACCTTTTATTTAAAAAATAAAAATATATTCGTAAATTAAAATATCTCCACATTAACAAACACCTATAAATATATTCACATTGCTACTCCATTTCACAGTTACAATGATACCAACATATATTTTTCTTAAACCCATAGTTTCCATAATTAGCATTCGTGAAAATATTCCATATAACACTATCTAGCATTATGCTAAAGTCACTCTAGATCCCGTATTAAAGGTTTCCACACTTCTTCCCGAAAATTTTTTATATCTAAAAAAATCAAGATAGTATGAAAGTCTAAAATACAAGGTGATTTACGTAGACCGTGCATTAGAAGTTTTACAACTTGCAGTTGTTTTAGAAACATGAAATTTTGTTCCCGGTAATATCGAGTAGTGCCGAACCCATGTAAAATAGATTTAGCCTTTACAGGGTGTACTTTATACAGGGTGTACGAAAACTATAACCTAACTTTCTTATTTCAAATGCTAAGCCCTAATTTCTTTAGCATGGTTGGAAGTTTCGACACTTTTTATATCAATGCTTGTAGGCTGCATGCACCCAGAGGCTTCAAAATGGGTACCCTTAAGTCATATGTGGAGAGCATTTTTTTCTTAAACAATTGACAGCAATAACTATAAGAGATAAGTTAACAGGATTAGGGTGGCTCAAACTGGCAATTCTAAGGCCAATCCAACCACGCTAAAAAATCAGAAGTTTACATTTAAAATAAGAAAGTTAGGTTATATTTTTCATACACCCTGTATAGCTGGAGAGCTAAATCTATTTTACATGGTTTCGGCACGACTTGTTTTACCGGAAACTGAATTTGAAGTTTCTAAAATAACTATAAGTTTGAAAACTTCTAATGCACGGTCTAAGAAAATCAACCTGCATATGATAGCTTTCCAATAATTTTTGGCAACAATAATTGGCAATTAATAACTTTTTAGTAGTAGTAAAAATCTTAATTTCTTTCAGAAAAGGCTATCGAAGACTTATATCGGTTTTTCTGCCTTTTAACTGCTTTAACTACCTTTCTGCATACGAGGGCCGTCCGATAAGCACTTGGCCTCGCCGCCCAATCGCGCCACTATCGCAAGAGAAATTTACTATCTTGTAGTACATTCTCGTAGACGGCTACTGTCATTTTCAGCCGAATCGGAATAGTAGTTTTGTTTTGAAAACTTGCGGAAGCGGGAGTATCTGCGAATTTCAGAAAAATGGAAAAGAAGCAATATCGGTCGGTGATTCGATTCTTGTTTCTGGAAGGAAAATCACGTAGCAAAATCAACGAAGATGCGGTGTACGGTGACTCTACTCCTTCGATGGCGACTGACAAGAATTAGTTTAACAAGTTTCATCGTGGCCGCACGTCGGTTTTTGATGAGTCACGCCCAGGAGCCCCGAAAATTGCTATCACGGATGATAACATAACAAAAATCCACGATATTGTATTGGCAGACCGCCGACTGAAAATTCGTGAGATAGTTGAGACAGTAGGTATATCAAAAGACCGCGTGGGTCATATTCTGCATGAAGTTTTGGGCCTGAAAACGCTGTTTGTGCAATGGATGCCGCGATTGCTCACTCCGGACTACAAGCAGAACCGTGAGACCACTTCAGATCAGTGTTTGACGCTGTTTAAACGCAACCCAAAGGAGTTTCTGCGTCGTTTCGTGACCGTCGACGAAACATGGATCCACTGGCAAACCCGAGACACCAAGGAACAGTAGAAACAGTGGACTTTACCAGGCGAACGAGCTCCGAGGACGTTTTCTGGAATTCACAACGTTTGATCTTCCTTGGCGAAGAAAAAAGTGCTCTTCCACCATGACAACCCACCGACTCACACCTCCGCCATCACAAGAGCCAAATTGATCGAATTGGACTGCGAGCTGCTGCCTCATCCACCGTATTTTCCAGATTTGGCCTCGTGTGACTTCTTTTTATTTCAAAACAAAAACGAAAAAAGTACTCGCCGAGCAGAAATTTCAGTCGAATGAGGAGGTCACCACGGAAGCCTACTTTGCAGACCTCGATAAAACGTATTTTTCAGACGGGTTAAAGAAGTTGGAGCATCGCTGGGTACAAGTGTATCGAATTAAAAAGAGACTATGTTGAAAAATAAGTCACCAATTTTACACAATTTTTGTATTTTTTTTGTATGCTCAGTACTTATCGGGCCGCCCTCGTATAACTTTTTATTAATCTTCGTTTTGTCATTAATTAATATGAGGTCTTAAGCCCCATTCAGATGATTCTGACCTAATTCAAAACATATACAACTTTATTATGCTCGGATAAAAGTGTACTTACATTCTTTCGTACTTTGCGCGTTCCGATTTTGGTAAAGATGGTTTCGTTTGTGACAGTGATTGTAATATAACCTCGTGAGACGTTTTGAGTGGCTGAGCTTCGATAGAATCCTGAAATATATTCTGTATAACATGTTAAAATGAAAAATTCGTTCAAGTCCAAATATTAATGTCTGATGTAACTGGCCCTGAGGAAAAGTTTCCAGCTTTAAAAAAAATCCGTTAATTTCGTTAAGGCTGTAACTTCAACATTTTTCCGGTTTAATTAGTGTTTAATTCTTATACTTATGTTTTTCCTAATTCTGTATCCCAATTGAACAAATAAAGGTCATTAACTCTGTATATTTGAAGTAACATTTCTGAACATAGGCATCCTCAAACTCAAATTATTCGTGTAAGAAGGTTCGTTCCGGTATTGGTAAAAAACGTTCTAATTCATGTATGTATTGTCTTCAAAATTGTAACTATTGGAAATTTGGAATAGATCTTAACTTTTAGCTGAACTTTGTTATTTTGTTTCCACACTAAAAGTGCGTTTTGGAATACAACGATTTGGTATACATAGAGTTTTTAATTCATTTATGCAAAAATAGTAGAATAAAGAAAGAAAAGATTAATTGACTAACTTATAACACAAATCTTTAAAATTTGACTAGAGAAATAAAATTCAAATGCAATTAAGTTCAAAATGACACCATCAGACATCAGAGCCACAATTCTGGAGAAAACGAGTACCATTAGAACCAAACTTCGGAAGAAATTTTCAGACGCAAACTTAACCTGACTGAAATTTCGCTTAAGCTTTCGAAACGTTGGCAACAAATGATATATACTACATAGGTATAGAATTTTTAATTTGGACGTTTAATTACTCCTATTTGCATGCACAAAAGATAACACTTTCCATCATTGTACAAGTATTTTCTTTAAGCGAGGGTATTTTAGATTGTGAAGGCAAGTGCAGTGTTCCTTAATATAATAAATAAGATAGGTACTTACGGTACTCACACAATCTTTCATTGTAGATATTTGCGCCGTGAACAGAACAGATTGAAGATCAGCACCGGAGTAGCCTTCTGTTTTCTGAGCAATTTCCTCCATCTTAACATCTTCAGCTAAATCTAACTTGCTCGAAAGTATATTTAAAATTTCCAATCGATCGTCCTGAAACAACAGAGGATCTCAAATTCAAATTTCTTTCAAAATTCTTCAAAATGTTCCAGACCTTTAGAATAAAATGAAAAAATATTGTTTTACTATACTAATATTAGTAATTGTAATCGACTTGTTATGGAAAAACATGACAAAACTCACATAGTTAGGCATGGAGCAAATAAGCTGTTTGTCTAATCTTCCGGGTCGCAACAAAGCTGGATCTAATAAATCCGGCCTTGAAGTAGCGGCCAATACACAAACCCCAGTTAAAGCTTCAACACCATCCAACTGCGTCAACAGTTGATTCACCACTCTATCAGTAACTCCTGTATTATCATGCCCCCGCCTAATAGTAAAGAAATTAACTGACTTTCAATAATAATGATTCTGAGATTGTAAAAAGCCTATAAAATGACTTATTTTTGCGTACCTTGGCGCCAGGCTGTCGAATTCATCAAAGAATAGAATGCAGGGTTTCGCCAGTTGTGCTCTGAAAATAACTCAAAATTAACGACCAAACAGCATGAAGCATGAAGTCACTTTTCCAGAACTGCTAAAAATTATGTACTCACTTGACAAAAACATCTCTAACTCCCTGTTCACTAGCTCCAATATATTTACTAAGTAACTCTGGCCCCTTAATAGATATTAATCTCAAGCCACACTGCTTTGCTGCGGCGCCAGCAATCAAAGTTTTTCCAGTACCTGGAGGTCCATACAGTAAAATTCCCGACTGAAGCCTGAGTGGGGCGTGAGAAAAAATGTTGGGATACTAAAGTAAAACATGTAAATTCGAATTAGTTATATTTGCAGACGTAAACATAGTATACCTTTGCTGGCCACATTAGACTTTCTATCAGCACATTTTTAACATCGTGCAGACCTCCAATATCTTCAAATGATTTGCGGTTTCCATTGTGGAATGTGATGCTTTGCAACGAAAGGGCGCATGTTTTCTTCAAAGCCACCAAACAATGTTCCTGAGTTATCATTGGTGTTTGACGGTCTTCCTGCCGATCTGTAGAAGTTTAGTGTGTTTAATAAATAATAAATAAACCTTCTCTAAAAAACAAAACGCTTCTCAGATTAATGGGAACAAAAACTAGTCCACTCAATCAAACATTCCGCAAATAAATTTTTGAATTATTTAATCGACATGTACACATTCGAATTAATCTATTTTCTGACAACAATGCACATTTATATTTTACTATATTTCTTATACTAAGAAAAACAATCGTTCTAGTATTCATAATTCCAAAAATTTTGTTTCATATCGGTTTTTTAAGTTAAATGTATTGTTTGTAATTTGCATTGTTGCTTGTTGGTTCGCTGCCTAAAACGGATAAAAACTTTTTTTTTTATTTTAAAATTTGAGGAAATAACTTCAATCGCTAGATTCTGTATAAAGTGGTCCAACGTCTGTCTGTCCAACGCGTAGTTAGCAGAATATTATTTTTCAGTTTTTCTAGGCAAATCGATGACATTTCAAATGTGAGAATCAAATTTAACAAACATATAAACCACACAGAATAAAAAAAGATATGGATTTGAATTTAAACTGGTTGACAAATCTACATAGAACTGATATGGGCGACTTCAAATTTACGTTAGAAAATACTAGAAACAAATTCAAATTAATAATAAGTAAATTTGGGGTTAAATGGTCAGTATTGGGTCTTAGATGTGATGAAGTTTGCCGAAGACTTCATTACAACAAAACTCTGGGAAATGCCGACAGTCTACTGACAAATCCTACTTCCACGTCCTTCAAGGCAGCGTAGCCTCCGGACAATGCATGGCGTACAATGGATGTGCGTCATGCAGCTGATGGAAGAGGGTGAATGGCGCGTTTCCGGCGCCTAAAAACTGGAACTTTACGGTTAAGGGAATGAACCCCTACAGAAAATTCTCGTCCTCCAGGTCTTGGGGGTTGCGCGGAAGGATAACTACCTGCCCTCGTAGAAAAAGAGTTAGTTGTGGAAATTGCACGTATGCCTCAGACTGGACAACTCAGCAGACAAAACTGGATAAACATTGGAATGACATGACATATAAATTGCAACATGAATAACACAGCGCTGGTACAGAACGGGAGCTGCTAACAGTGCCATACAACAACTGGAAAGAATAGAAATGGACATAGTGGCGGTAAAAGAGATTAGATGGCATGACAGCGGCAACCTAAGAATCAGTAAATCTGTGGTATCTTTCAGTGAAAATCAAAATGGGCGACATGAGTATGGAACTGATTTCGTGAATATGAAGTGCGCTTTGAATCCATAAGTGATAGGCTCTGCTACTTACGAATAAAGGCACATTAGTATAACATATCCGTATTATCAGTATATGCTCCTACAGAAGATAAGGACGCAGTCACTAAAGACTCGTTCTACGACTTGCTTGAAAGAACAGTAGAAAGCCAGCCCAAACATGATATGATAGTACTATGCAGGAATTTCAACGCAAAAATAGGCAAAGAACCAACGTTAATGCCGACAATAGGTCAACATACATCCAATGACAACGGACAAAGACTAAGAGAATGAGCAACAGCTAACAACATGCTAATAAAATCCACAATGTTCCCCCATAAACAAATCTGGGTATCCAGACCATGTGGCCCGTAACCAGATTGACCATGTCGTGGTGGGCGCCAGGCATGGGAGCAGTGTCCTTAGAGGAGTAGACGGAGATACAGATCATTATCTGGTAAAATCAAAACTCCAAATCAGTATATCGAGTAAGAAAAACCAACAAAACTAACCAAACCACAAAACGGAACATTGAAAAACTCAAAGAAGAAAACAGAACAAGAACTGGAACAGAAACTCGTTGAGAATGAAAATCGCACATTGGAAGGCTTGTGGAACTATATTGAACAAACGATAAAAAAGACAGCAGAAAAAACCATCGGGACAACAAAAAAAAACGACAAGAAAGAGAAACGTTGAGAAAAACCATGGTTAAACACGATACACCTGAAAGCCGAGAAAAATATGCAAACTCTTGTAAAGAAACCAGGAAGTTCATAAAATTACAAAAACCAGAATATGAACGTCGAAAATACGAGGTGATCGGAGGAAACAGGTCTAAACCAGCTTCTAGGGAATTCTATAAGGCAATAAAAAACGAAAAACGAGGATATCAGCCAAGGTCGGTCCCGATGTTAACAAGCGCTAATAGAGACATGATAAGTAACGAGCACAAACAGTTGGAACCATGGAAAAACTACTTTAAAAAGCTGCTAAATGTAGAACCCGATGAAAAACATACAAAAAATACATACCACACGGCATATCTCCCTGTAGAAGAACCATCCATAGAAGAAATTCGAAAGGCAGTAAAAAAGTGACAAGTCAAAGTGCTCAAACTACAGAGGAAACTCACTCATCAATACGGCCTACAAAGTCCTGGCCTTTGTTTAATGGGAAAACCATTTAATGTAATAAACCTGTGAAAATATTGTTCTGGGTAGACTGACTCCATAATCAGAGGGCGTCCTGGGGGAATATCAGGCAGGCTTCAGAAAATTTAGATCCACTATTGCCCAACTTTTTACACTTAATCACTAGAGAAAGGATTTAAGTTCAACCGTACTGTCCTATTACAATCTATTCATAGACTTTCGACAAGCTGCAGTGCCGCGTGGTGAATCAGGTATCGCCTAATAGAGGGCTATTTACGCTAATAAAAAAAATTAGGCATTTTGAAAAAAAATTGTAGGTAAAAATGTTTGGTCCCCACCACGACCCTAATAGCAACCGGTATCGCATCAGGGCAAACGCCGAGATTAACCAGCTTTATGGCTACGGGGATATTGTCAGAGAAAATAAGTCCCAGCGCCTAAGATGGTACGGGCATGTCCATAGACTACGAGATGGCAGACTGACGAGACCGGTATGGGAGGAGAGACCGTCGAGAAAAGGACACTTGGGAGACCACGCCAGAGATGGAAAAAACAACATCAAAGCAGATCTCACGAAAATGAATACCCCTTTCAGCCAAAACCCAAACTGTGCTGTAGAGATACCTCGTATTGTATTGTAATAAGTTAATTAAATACATGTAATTTAAATAAATAATTATTTTAAACAAGTTAGTGATTAAATAAGTAATTTTTCACAGATTGAATTGGGTTCTGAAACCGTGTTCGAAAGAAAAATCGAATTACCTGTCTAGATATTCACGCAGATGCTGCAAAAACGGATAATTTTAAACCACACTTAAAAATAATATAACTACCTTTATATGCTTCAAAAAGCGCTTTGGTATAAAAGTCTTCAATATCTTGTACAACAAATCCATCTGTTTTTAATGCTAGTTCTTCATAGTCGAGGCTGGTATCAACTAAATGTTTACCGAGAAAATGTTTTAACAGCAATATTCGGTCCGCCTACAAGATACGCAAATATATCCAAGGTGTCCCACAAATATTTTCAAATTGATATAGCATACAAAAGAGGGCAGAATTGTTTCAGTGTTTATGCTCATACCGTTACCGGCAAAGCTGCGAAATGTTAGTGATGAAAGTAACTATAATTATGTAAGCAAATTTATTATTTAACCTTACGCCAAAAAGTAGAAAATAATTCAAAAACGGAATAAGTTATCAAGTAACATGAGGAGCAAACTGATGGATAAGTTCAGCAGAGGGTTCGGCAAGAGCCAAATTTAACTCAACTGTTACAATTATGTAGAATAAAAATCTTTTGGTTAGAAATTTGGAATTTTCAATCATAACAGTAACTTTCACTACCAAAATTGAATTGTTTTTAAAGCAGCTTCTAAAAACTGAATAAAAATATTTATGAAGTCACTATTTTGCTCATCTATAACTTTATTATGATCTTGATCTCATCCTATATCAACTACTAATATGAAATTACTAACAGATATTTTGACGACATATAATCGACTTACCTTATTTAGATCCTCCATAGTAAATACGTTTTTATATAAGTGGTTCCCTCTTGATCGATAAATATGCTTATTTAATTTTGATACCAAATCGGTGCTAGCTAAAATACCAACAGCATGCACCTTTTGAGTATCGATGAATAATGTGTGCAACATTTCACTAACTCTAAAAAAATTAAGTTAGAACAGTTAGGAATTTCGCGACCATCTTTTGAAATATAACTGATTTCGTCCTGACGTTTCGCTTTTACGTATGCGAAGCATCTTCAGAAGAGTTTTCATTTCAAGTCCTTACAATAAACGATTATATTGCTGAAAATTCTTAACGTCACGCGTGCTAGCAAAAAAATTCAAGACCAAATTTATATAGACCTCGGCCTAATAACCCGAAAACCAACAGTTTTTTGGAAAACTAACAATATTACCTATTGGAAAATATCGTATTAGGGGTTTCTTCTCCTTCCCATACTTCACATAACACTTGTAAATCATCCAATATTAGTAAAGCGGGCTGACTTAAAATTAAGTTTGAGAGTAAGTCAGTAAAAAATTTATGAAGCGATTCCAGAGTTTTGCCTTTGATGTTTTTACAGTAAACTATTTCAGTTTTTATGAAATATGGATAGGAATTTAACGTTCTTGAAATATTTTCCATTACAGATGATTTTCCTGTACCTGGTCTACCTGAAAAAAAGAATTAAATGTAATAATAAAAGCACAACAAGGATAATAAGATAATTATAACAAAATATAATAATAAAAGAGCAACAAAGATAATAAAGAGATAGCATTATAATTAGATAATAATCTCTACATGTCTCAAAAAATGTGGAAATTGAAATAATTCAGAAAAAGTCTTAAAACGTTAACACTCCTAGGTATACATTTTAACTCACCACTTAGAATTATATTTTCCACTTCAAATACTCCAGTTTTCAATAGTACAGATAGTATATTATCACAGATTGACTTTACAGGTGCAATGGTGAAGCACATTTCATTGCTTGTTTCACGTTTCTTAACAATATCTTCCAATGAGGTTACAAATTCATCACATACACTATAGGAGCAATTTCTTAAAAATTCCTGATCAACTATGCAAAATTTGACATTATGTGAAAATGTAAGAAAACAGTGAAACCGTCCGTTGATTGAAATAGGATATTTGGCATTTATAATAATTGGTGGTACACAGTGATCGGCCAAATATTTTTTTAACTCTTCCACTAAATTTATTAAGTAGGACTTTGTGCTATGAATTTCAATCTCTTTAACTGAGGGTGACCTAGGAATCTTTTGCAACACAACTCTAGCTGGAAAATCACATTGCAAAAATGAAAAAACCGAATTGTCAACAAAAAGATTGCCCAAGTTGTTGTTGTAGAATTCTACAGGTACATCCACAAAATTTGAAAGTCTTATAAACAATTCTTTCTCTTCACCAATGCTATTCAGCAGGGTCATTTTGAAAAAGTTACTAATTTCATTATCGCAATCTGGTACGGTCTCACAAATATATCCTGTGAAAACATTACTTTTGATCTTAAAAGAACTGGGTAAGAATGAAAGTGGTATTAATCGGTAATAACGATCTCTAATACGTGTCTCTGAATTAACTGGTCCAATATCTTCATTGGAGGATATACTCTTGAAAAAACTAATGTATTCTTGAAGTATCTGAGGTTTCTCTGCAACTTTGCAGTTGTTTAAAACTAAAATGTGATTCGTTTAAAATTAAAAGGTAATTAGTAGATAGTCAGTCATACCGTGTGAGGAATTGTGTGGGGGTTCAATAACAACTTCGGTTAGAAAATCCAGAGCACCCGGACTGACTGGTTGTACATTTTCTGAAATCGAGAAAAATATTCTAAATGTACTGTTTATCTCATGGAAACTTTGACCAAACTAGGGTTTTGAACAGTCTACTTATTTAAAATAGTCCTACCGATGTCTACAGTTACTTACCTACCATAACAGAAACTGTCAGACTGTTTCCAATCCAAATTACTAGTTTCTGACCCGAATGAATAACTCTAACTTGATCGAGCAGATTTGACTGTACATTTTGGGAAAACATTTCCTATAACCAAATTTTCAAGTTGTACAAAACATCTGAAAAGCGCCAAAAATATAATTTCTCACCAGAACTTCATAATCAGGCTGAGTAAGTGGTTTTATAATAACACAAGTAACGACTGGTGATTGAGATACATTTGAAACATTGACTAACTCATTTTCTTGGAATCCTAAAAGTTTTGCATACGTTGAATTTATAGCAATTGAATCGAACTCAACTATATTGCTAATCACTTTGGCAGAAAAGAATGCTTCAGTGGAATCATTGGTCATTTTCATACACATCTGGAATATATACATAATTGCATAAAATGAGTATTTAAGACAACTATGCGGTCTTAATAGAAGACTATTTTCTAGTAAATATAGATTTAACACAGATATACCTACTAAGGAGGTACAAGTCGGATTGATTGTGATGTGTAAGTAATGTTTTTATGATATAAAAGTGTTCGAAAAGTGAAATGGAGCGATGAATTATTGAATATTTTGAAGAAAAAACGACGAAACATGGCCGACAGTACCTAATTTCACAAGAAGGAAACTTAATAAGAATAAGAATACGCCTATTACTACGTGCTAAGACCATTTTTAACAGCTTAATAAAGGATTCGTCGTTACCCCACACATAGGGGTGAAGACGGACAATAATTCAGAATAAATTCTTGTCTTTATAAAAGAGAATTTATTGTAAATGTAATGTAATGTGAAACACTAGTCTGTGATTGTTTAGATTAATGCCTATATAGAATAAAATATTATTATTGAATTCACCATATTGCTATGGAGTAAAGTAAGGAGACATGGATCAGTAGGAAAGATAGTCCAGATACAATAATTCAAAAACGTTTTGATTTTTCAACAGTGCAATCACGCAGCAACAACAGAGGTGCAACCTCGTACGCGTCTGTCTCTGTCGTCTCAAAAGGTTTTGTTCTTATATTTGAGTGTGTTAGTTAAGCGCAAGCTGAAAATGTTTTCACTTTCTATGTCTACATCGTTTGTTAACAAAAGGACAAGTATTTTATAACAAAATCAATTTGAAGACATAAATTATGGGTTTATCAATAACAGCCTGCAAATCTCCAGTAGATGAAAGTGAAATATGAAATAGCAATGAAATCATGGTTCATCTGTCCCTACCACTTCGGACAGTTGGACCAATATTTAGTAGGACCGACGGGCCAGCATTTACTTTTCCGTACTTTTCTAATTTCAGTATTTCAATCAAGATGCCTACTGGTGTACCTTCGAAAAAATACTAAAGTATCCAGTGGTAATTTTTGCAAAGCTTCTTAAAGCTTTAACACTAGAAACAATGCCTAAAACGCTATATCAAAAATTCTTCAATTATCTTCAAAACTAAAAACGATGGAAAAAATTCGAGTGTGCCACTGGATAAAACGGGTAAAATGGGTCAAAGTGCATTAAAAACGTGCTATTCGCTTTTCCTCGAAAATAAATAGTAAAGGAGCCAAAGAATACGACTTTTTGTTTTGGAGCTACACATTATCTTGTTTCGCTCATAAAAAGACGGAGATTTGTTAAGTCAAAGTGAGAAGGAAACTGAAATATGTTGCACGATTTTCATTTTCACATTTAATTTTTACTCGAAAACCAAGCTTCCAATCGAAAAAACCTGATTCTTGATAAAATGTCCGGAATRTGAAAAGGTACCCAAGAGCCGATTTTTCAAATCTGAAGCTGCAACAGTTTTGAAACAATGTGAAAATGWTTTCAATTARAAAAAATGTACGATCTTTAAAAACCGTAAATATCTTTAAAACTAACAKAGATGCAAAAAAACCGAGCTTGCCACTGCATAGAACGAAAATGATTGCAACTGGTTTAGGGTGAGACTTCCCTGGTTCGCCCAAAARAAGACCGAGAAGTTTTTTAATAAGAAATAAAACTTTTCTCAAAGTAAGTAACTTGTGCATATGAAACGCCCTGTAGAGAGAAAAATTGTCGAAAATTCACCTGCTGGCAATTAAACCCTTGAGATTTAACTTAAAACTAACMTTTCAAACGAAAAACTTCATAAAATAAATGGTTCGGCAGGTGTTTTTTAGCAATTCGTTTTTTTCGCAATTTTTAATCCGCCAGCTGCTTTAAGAGCGARTATTTTTSCACATTTATAATTTTATATCTAAATGGACCAAAATGGAGTAAATATAGCCMATAGACTTAGGACAACTTGAGAAATACTGGATTAGCAATAGACAATAACGAAATGGGAATCAGCCAAGCTGCTAGAACTTTTAGGGTTCGCAAATCCACTCGGCTTTGCGCTTAAAGAGACGCTTAAAAACCCGTTACTTGAAGAAGCACTCTCGTTTAGGCYCTGGATCATTACTSGGAGAAGARAATGAAGTTAMMCCAGTCTAGTTTAGGTTTATTATAGTGATAAGTTTTTTGYCATATTTAAAATTAAGTAACTTTCATATATTTGTATGTAYTTTCTYAAAAAYAAATATACTGCATTAGMYAAAGTAATTATTTTATTTTCTATTTTACAGCAAACAATCAATAACTATAGTGGACCATCTATCCTACCACTCCTGGTCCATCTACCCCTTAACGGCGGGGAAGATGGACCAAATATTATTTAAATTATACTCAGAAATACTCAGGCAAACTGAAAGCATAGTACTTTTACAAGTAATTCCATCAATTTCAGTTGACAAGTTTAAACCTGAAGCTCGAAATGTTAATTTGAAAAAAGTGGTCCAACTCTACCTGCTCTACTATAAATAAAAATATAAACTTATTTTATTATTACGTTAATATGTTGCCATTTCTCTTAACACTGAATAATTTTTCATGAAGACATACACCTTTAAATATTAACAGATCATTAAGGAACTCCTTGTACAGGGTGATCCAAACTTGACGCCCCAGGTCTACCCTATGCCTAAACGAAAACTGATAATTAAATTTTCAATCCAAATATGATGCCCAGAGGTACACTTTCAGCGAAAAGAAAAAAAAGTACATTCAGAAATGTACCTAATTTTGTAATATCCTTCAATAATAACCAAAACTTTAAAAATTTGCCTCTTAAGTTATTGAGATGGATTTTCTCCAAGTTTTTTAATACTTACTCCCGTATTAACATTCTTATGTTTGGGTGATAAATAAACAAAACAGTTCTTTTCACTCACATACTTTACACTTAACACTGTTTCAAACATTATTTCTACGCAACAAACTAATTATAATTCCTGAATAAATCCAAACTGCAGTCCTATTTTCAGCAGATTTCTAGGTTAGATCTGGTGTAGATCCGGTAGAAAGTAAACAATCAAGAACATCGTTGACAACAACGGTGAGGCTACGCAAAGAAGAGGAAGAAAGTTGATACTTTACATAAGTGGATAGCTGTACGGTCTTCCTTATTATTAAAGAATTCAATTTTTTTCGCCGGGGAGAGACTCCCGGGTATCGGGGATACTTACTCCCTCCTCTCAAAGTCAAGAATAGACACAGGAGTGATGCTGAATTAGTGGAAAAAATGCCTTTTCAGATCCAAAATAAATGAACAAAAAAATGTTTAAAACTTAGTAACTTGAATTTATCCTTGTTAATCAATAGACATATTGTTTAAAATCTGAGCAAAAAGGGCGTAGTTTATTTATGGTGGCAAAAAATAATTCATTCAGTTTTTAGTTATTCCTAGTTACTTTATTAATCATTAATGTGATGAATTTACTAGWACATTTTTGTGCTTCAATAATGTTTTAATGCTGTTTTAATTACCATATTTAGGAAAATAAACGGTGYCAAACAAAACCTAATTTACTACATAAAAATATTTGTCAGAGATGCATTTCATATTGCATGACAACGCATTGCAAAGATGCATCATCAAGATGCATTTCAAGCCAAGTCACAATTTGACAAATGCTTTTTTGTGGAAGAGTAAATTTCTGAGAGCAAAAATTTTTATAATTTGAAGTTAACATCGAAATTGTTTTCTTCATTTTAAATGAGAGTAAACAGAACTCTGCGATTTGTTTATAGATCCGAGAGAACGTTGATAGCAATGCCATGCCGTTGACACTTTAAACATCTGTTCCTGTTATTTCAAAAACTGTTCGCTAGGATTCTGACGTTTGGCGTCCCCTTCTACGACGTTTTCCTCCAATCAGAGGGAGGGAAACGAAAATAGCCAATGAAATAGCTTCAAAACAGTTGAACGCGAAGACGGTTACTAAAGATTTTTCAATGGCTGGGTATCCAAGTGGTGTGTAACTAATTTATATGTGATATTTCTACCAGTTTTTACAAGAAAAATATATTTTACATTCAACGTTTACACGTAAGTGGATGTATTAATGTACTATTTATGTTATTTTTGGTATTTTCATTCATAAAATTATCTTATCTGAGAAAAGCTGTCGGGTAACCTTAAACTCATGCGTTTTTTCTATTAAAGTATTTATTCTTCAAATATCTTTGAAAATTGGTTCAGTTGGAGGTTTTTGTTAATGCTCATTGTACTTAGTGTGCATCTTAAACATGTGCAATCTAAATCTAATTAGATAATTCGGCGGTAAAATTGGGTGTGTTGATGGATGTCATTTTGGGGCTTTGGATATCCGTTATTCTTATTTGAAACATTTCTTAATCTGTTCCCTCATATTTCGCATAAACACATCATTAAACGAACTGCAAATTAGTCCTGGAATACGGTTTCGAAGTTGAAAGTATCCATAATTGAATAAATACTGGTTTTAGTTACATGTTTTTCAAGTCAGTCAACTTTCAAAAGAGCCATGGTACTTCCGTCATATAACTGCTTTAATGTGAAGTTCTAATTTTATGATGCAAATGTTGCACACATTGCTCGTAATATTTGCAAGTTATAATTATTGTACTCCGGAGTGTTATGCAAACCATGCACATTGGAGGGTTATAAATACCTATCTAGAGCATTGAAAGTGTTATCAGAGTTGTTGTTCAAAGTTTATAGATTTCTACGCTCATTACTTCATTTGCTGTTTAGCGGTTAACGCTTGTTTATTTTTAGATGTATTTGTTGGATGGTTTAGCCGTTTTGCACAGAATAGCATTATGCAATAGGTATTTTCATTAAGCGCTTACTTTATTTATATTTATTCAGTTTGCAACAATTGTAATGAGTAAAAAATAAATAAATAAGAATTAATGAAGAAAGCAACAAATTTAGTTACTTAAAATGGCAAATACAAAAAGGTTATAGGACCTTGAAAATGTGTATCTCACCCTTTATAAAATGTGTTCTTTTCACTTTTTTGTTTCCCTTACACTTATGTGGCATCAAACAAAGCACATACACGTTTTCCCTTTTTGACGCTCAAAAAATTAATAGTAAAGTTTACAACTTTCATGATTGTTTGCGTTTACAAACATTGCTGAATCAATTAAAACCTACACCCTATGAGTTTCCAAAGTTTCAACAGTCTAACAAATGCTGCTAATTAAACTTAAAATAAATTAGATAAAAAGTGACTACGAAAGAACTTGATTCTCGAGGAAACCTGTGAATTATTTTTTTTATTATTGTGGACGTTATCGGGGGATTGCGCGACAGTCAGCACAAAACACATAAAAAACTTATAGCAAGTAATTGGTGTTCAATTAATTATTTTAAAATATAGTAATCTGCAAAAATTACTTACTGCAATAACGACCCGCAACGCACAAAATGTGTGTTGCGGGTCTTAAACTCAAATATGAACACTGCAACAATTAAAAAATTGGGAGCCAAATCTGCTTGTTTAGTAAACTTTTATTACACTAAATAAGTAGTGCACTAAATAAAACTAAATTTCATACTTAATATTTATTAATACGAACAATGTGATTGCATCTCCTTGGAAAGTTTGAGTAAGTCAGGTTTAGGCATGATTCCAAGTTCTCATCAATCTCAGTTTACTCTTGATAATGTTCATGCTTGAAAAATATTGTTCGCATATATGTATATGTATAACCGAAAAGGGAAAGAACAGCAAACACGAGGCAAAGACTTAGACAAACAGTATTCTCTATTAGATCAGGACACTTCAACAACGAGAAATATTTAAACACTATGTGTTGTTCCGATGTAAAAATTCCAAACAATAAAAATGTAAAAAGTTTTTATCGTAATTATCCGTACTGTGAAACCAGACTTGGAGACTAATAATAATAAATATAATAAAATAGTATCTGTTACTTAGATATGAAACTTGTAAACTTGGGAAACTATCTTACAACTTTTAGTTGAAAAGTTTGTTTTATGTTGAGAGCAAGATATATCAAATTATAATCAACATCAAAATATAGGATATACTGTGAATATGAGGATTGAATAAAGCTGTGTACCCGAATTTAGAACGAACCCAGGTAGTTGTGTTATAATTAAATGGCCGTCCCTTAACTGTATTCAGAGATTCACGTTAAAATATCGTGTTTTTGATAGTTAGTGTTACTGGCTTAAGTTTTTAAGTATGTATTACGAATAATGAATAATGACCATTCGTTTTACACGATCAAGCTTTTCTGATGATTGCCGTTAAGTATCCGGTGTTTCTATGGTAATTTGAAGGAAAGTACTTCTCTATTGAGTATTTACAGCTATCGTGCATAATCTATCTAAATATCACGGAAAAAATGAGTAGGTAATACCGTTCTTGATATTTAATATTTAATGTGTGTTTTAATTTAACGCTTTAATTTCTATCCGCACTTTATTTGCAGATACTTTATCGATGCAGGCCGGCGGTGTTCATCCAGATAGAATTAGAAAGGTGCTACTAAATTTTAATACATTTTTTACTTATTAGATGTCCCGTAAACGATGTAATACTGAGTCAAATATAGTTCAATGAATTCAATTGATGTTCACATTTTGATAACTTGAAAATCGAAGTTTTTTTTCCGCACATGATTGAAATTGCACCCAATATAATTTATCGTTCTGCTATTTGAGAAATTTTCGTTTTATATGGTTCTTTGTTGGTCATCGTATGACTTAGGTCTCCGTGTCTCATGACGTAATGCCAATACAATTGAATACTATATTATATTACAATGCTATTATTAGTGAGAAGCTAGAAGCTCATGTGTCATTTTTCAATTAATATCATCTTCATCTGACTCAGTATAATACATCAAAACGTTGTTTTACTAACTCCCATTGTATATTTATATTGTTTTACTAAATAGCAACATATTAGTATAGTTGTTAATTCTATATTTGGTGCCTTTACACTTAGGCTCTTATCGCATGGTTTGGGAACGCCGCGGCGATAGCGCTTGTTTTACATGGAGCTATTCACACGAGCGCGTAAAAGTCCGGACCACCGATTTAGCAGCGCTTCTGTGGCGTACAGTGGTTGACTAACGCCGAGAAGCGCGTCAAAAAGAAGCGCCACTGATAGCTATACATTGGTTCAAATGCTGGCCACTCTGCAGCGCTTCTCGGTGGCGCTTCTGAGATGCTCACGTTAACCTGAAGCAGACTGAAGTGGCTCGTGTGATCGCACTGTGTAAAAATGTGTGCAAAACTGCAGTTCGTTAACGCAACGCAAAGCCTGCAGGGTTCAACGTGCAACTTTCGCGTACTCCAGTATTTTTCTTTAGGCTAGCGTTGTTTCGTGCGCGACTGGAACGTGGCGCTCCGATCGCACACGAGAAGAGCGTAAGTGTAAAGGCACCTGTTGAGATTATTTGACCTTAAATCCACGAGATGAAATATATACTCGAGGCGCAGCCAAAGGTTACCTTATAGTTATATTTTTTTCGAGGGGATTATAGGATTTTAATTCCTGAATAAGTAATTTAATATTTTATCCACGACCAAGCCAAAACCGAAAAAAAAACAGTTTTTTGGAAAAGGGCAGATTTGACAAAATCTCGTTCTGGCCAAATATATTGACGTGGGACTGAAAACTTGAGAGTTTCGGAAATTTTGCTATGACAATCTTTAGTAATTTATTTGTTGTTAATTCTAATACCTTAGTGTGAGGAGGCCTGCATTCTACGTAGAACAGACGTGTTAAACCCTCCCAATATAATGGTCGTGGATACAATTATTACTTTATTGTTAAATTATATTGTTTTGATTACAGATTCCATTACGTCTATCAGACTACAAAATTAATTCAAATCTGCGCTCAATTATGCCACCCACAAAGATAGCGAACAAAGTTGTTTCAAACGGTATTGCGACACGGCGCAAAACCGCCAATCATGGTTTAGAAAATGATTTTAATCACATTGGCAAAGGAATTGACAAACTAAATAAAATAGTTAGAGGAAAACGAAAAGCTGATTGTTCCCCTATCAAAAACAAAGTGGTTAAACGAAGTGCGTTGGGTGATGTAACAAACAATGACGATAAAGTCATCGATAACAAGGTGATTATTTGGGGCTTGCTTTTTATAAAGAGTTAGAGAGCAAATTATTTTGTTTTGAATTCAAATCGAATAAAAATATTGAGAGGATGAAGCAAGCTAAATATATCAACTGTAATTCCTTACTTTGCTTCATCTCAAACGAACTCGAACAAATTCAATGATAAAATCATTTTAAAACGACAGATTTACAAAAATCGAATTATTGTTATCTTTGTAATATTTATACATTTTAGGTACTGAAAAATATTAAACGAGTGACAGTGCAGTCGAAAGTGCTACCATCCGTTAGAACAGTTCAAAAGAAGAAGCAAAATGAAAATTCGCAACCTCCGCCCGCTCCAGTTGCCAATAAAATAGTTACGAGAAACGCAGTTAAGCAAGTTACCAATTGCACCAATCAGACTGCTTTAAAACCAAAAGAAAATAAGAAAAACTGTGTACCAGCTGCGACTACCAAGAAGAGACTTAGTAATGAGTTTGAAAAAGATGACGAAACTTTGTACTGCACTGCATTGGAGGAAACGTATGTCTCGCATCTTCGCCAACTAATGGTGTATTTGAAATACTAAAAAATATACATGGTGTACGGGAAAGGTGCGACCAACACTTAACGAGGCAAATCTACATGAAAAATCAGTGTGACAAGTTCACACTTTTGCGAAAACTCAATAATAACGGATCTACAGGACGTTACAGTAAAAAAAATTTTAAATTTGAAATAACTTTTTTGTTAGTTATCTGACGACGCACGTTTAATTATTTCCAACGTTTTAACAGAGCGTGCCATGGAAGCAAGTGCACTTAGAATTCATTATTTGTAATAATTTTTTAAAACTTTAACGCTTTGTAAGTTTTTGTGTAATTTATCACTCATTTTGAGTTGCATCGTTAAGTGTTTTTCGCGCATCTTTTTCGGACAGCCTGTATAATTCGTACTCTAGAAGTTTCTAACATTCTTTATTCTTCGTATATTTATGACTAAGGTACTGACTAGTTACTGACTTGTAAGGTTGGATGGAAATTATTAGTTGCCGAATGTTAAAGCTGGTAGATCGTTGAAAATAATTTTTTTACCTAGTAAAATTCTTAATTAAAGTAGCAAAAGTTTAGCAAAAAACTTATTAGATATTGTAATGCTCCATTCCAATATTTGTAAATTAATTGATCTTATTACTTGAATTTTACGCTCTTATTATTTGAATTTTACAGCCAAGTTAAATTTTTGCTTTGAGAACTATTGCAGAAATTGACTGCCCAAATACCTTTTAGTAATGATTCTACATGCTTCAGTGCAAAGCGACCAGTCACACGTTTATCGGCCGCGGCAGCAATCGCCTCCGCAAAAGTTCAAGAAGCTGGAAAGTCGTCGGGAAACATTTCTCTTGTGACTCATCAGCTCCAAACCAAACTCCACCTAGACAATAAGGAAGTACCTGAAGGAGTTACAGACTATGATAAAGAGAATTACGATGATGTTTATCAAGTATCTCATTACGCTAAAGACATATTTCATTACTATCGAGAGAAAGAGGTAATTATTTCCGACAAGTTTGTGGGAAGAGTGTCTATACATTATATCTATTTCAGCTAACATTCCCAATTTCAAACTACATGGACACTCAAATTTGCATCACAAAGTGGATGAGGACACTTTTGGTAGACTGGATGGTTGAGATTCAGGAAAGCTTTGAACTTAACCATGAAACACTTTACTTAGGTGTTAAGGTTGGTATAGTATTAAGGTTTTAATCGAAACAAATTCATATTTTGAATTTGCCCCAATTCCAAGTGTAACGCAGGTTGCATTTGTCAAGAGAACTATTATTATTAAACCGACGTAAAAAAAAACATTGGAAAACCCCTCTTAAAATCACTTTATGGTTGAGGGCGTCGACCTGTGAGGTTTATAATTATAGGCGTCTTTGTTGATTTTTCGTCTTACTTTTATGAGATCAATTGCGTTTGCGCTTAATTTACTGTATAGTTTTCACATAACTTTTTGGTAACTGTTTAAATGTTACTTTTTATTTTACTTGGAATTATATTGATGCTCATTTTGTTTAGTGAGTTCTGGTTTTAATTTCTTTTTCTCCTGCTGATATTCATCTTTTCTGCTCTCTTTTACTTCGGCAGTAGCAAATTTATCATTCTGGAATCAATTTCCTTCTTTCAAGTTTCGCGTTATTTCTAAAGCAAGCCTTCACTAATCGATTATCGCTGCCGGTATCTAACTGATTTAACACTCTTACATCGCTGTATATCTTTATATTGTTTGATAGTATGAAATAAATTTCATTTTTATGTTTCGCAGGAGCTAACCCAAGTCTACTTTCGTTTAGTAGTCAGTATAGGTTTTCTTCGCATAGAAAAGTCATCAGCGTCTTTTATCTCTCGTATCTCCTGGATCATTCTGTATAAATATCGATATCGATCTAATTAGAACTTTCTGCTATATAAATTTTATATATTTGAAATATGTACCTATTTAGATAGTAAAACTATTAATTTAGTTAATATTTTTAGCTTGTCGACTTATACTTAAGCCGAATACTAGTGTCTAAAGAAACTCTGCAATTAGTGGGAGCAACGGCAATGTTTGTGGCCAGTAAGTTCGACGAACGACTCCCGCCGTTGATTGACGATTTCCTGTACCTGTGTGATGGAGCATACACTAGGAAGGAAATTATCAAAATGGAAATAAGTTTACTGAGAGTAGTTGACTTCAATCTAGGGATTCCCATAAGTTATAGATTTTTAAGGCGTTTTGCTAGGGTAATTTCAACATCTAAAAATCGTTTACACATAATTTTTATACGTATTGTTACAGTGTTCGAAAACTTCAATGAACATATTGACTTTGGCAAGATATATCTTGGAATTTAGTTTAATGGACTATGATACCATTCATATTCGAGACTCATTAATAGCTGCTGCATCTCTATACTTAGCTCTAAGGATGAAATTTGTCAGCAAATGGACGCCAACACTAGAATTCTACACAGGTGAGTTTTTAAAATTACAATTAATGGCGTTTTACTTTTTTAAAGAGATTATCAATTCGAAAAAAATAGATCAGGTTAGAACAGAATCAAATTAGATTTTTAACAACGTTGCAATTAGTACAAAACGTGCTTGTTAGATAAAAAGATGTGTGCCTGGTATCTAACGTTTGGCCTTTTTAATATCTGGTACAAACTAAGCACCAGTTCATACGGAGTTTTATTTTTTTCGAGTAGGTAAAATTTCTGTATCATGAGACAGACATTGCTCCGTATCACATACGCGGGTTAGTGTCCAAACTTTTTTCGTTAATGCACGAACGAACTATGATCAAACAAGTTTAAAAGCATTAATAAACATGTGTCCATCTTTTTCAGGTTACAAGTTAAATGACCTGAAGAGTACAGTTCTATTGTTAAATAAGTGTATTAGTAAACCCCCAAAAGAACAAATTATGACAGTAAGAAATAAATATTCACACAAAATTTTCTTCGAAGTAGCTTATACACCTCTTCTAGAAGATCAAGAACTCTTTTAGTTCATAATGTGTACATGTATACATATTTATTGTGTCTACTCAAGTAAATTGTTTTACCTTTTACCTGTACTACCTTTTGTATTTGTTTGAATGTCTTATGCAGGTATTTGTTACATCTAACATTTATTTTGTTGTAATCATCCACCACATCCAATAGAATAAGGACTATTCAGGCTTAATCCTGATCATTTTGGCATATGTAACTTTTTGAAGCCGGAAGCAAGACGATATGACAATTTAATAAAAGCTCTGCCGAACTTTTGACTTATATTGCAAGTATGTTTGAAGATTTTCTTAACACCCTTTGTTGCCATTAATGGTGTATTATGGGCCCTTAGGAGTGTGGAAAGCATCAAATTGGTTTTTAAGTTAATATACTGATAGTTTTAAGAAAATTTAGACCTACAAAATAAAGAAAATAAGTTTCAATGTTTAACAGATAACTATACAGGAAGCGAAGGCCCCATTCTTGATATCATTGATGAATTGATTCGGGGTTAGACAGTTCAGTGTTAATGGTCAATGATATTCTCAATATGCAAAGTACGATTGTATGGTTGTTGTGTTTTCAGATAAGTATTTTAAACTTCAATTCATTGTTTTGCTGCAAATTTCATACATTTCAATGATATTTTTTCAACAAATTTTAAACATTTTAGCTCAAATTTTATTTTATTTATTATATTTGTTTTGATTATAACTGAAATTTACAATTAATAGTTTACGAGAGTGGTCCGATATGTACTTAGCTTTAAAGAAAACGAAAATTTTGGAAAAGTGGCAATTCGATACACTTGACCCAGCGATGTTCCCACTTCTTTAAACCGCCTGAAAATACGTTTTCTCAACGTCTGCAAAGTAGCCTCTCATTCGACTGAAATTTCTGCTGGGCGAGAACTTTTTTAAGTTTGGAAATAAAAAGAAGTCACACGGGGCCAAATCTGGAGAAAACTGAGTATGAGTCGGTGCGTAATCGTGATGAAAGAGCACTCCTTCAAGTTTTTTCTGCAGCTCGACGTCGAATCAGCTCAATAAATCTATATAATATATCCCTGTGATTCTTTTTTTCTTTTCTCCGGATAGTCGATGTAGATCACATGTTGTGAATCACAGGAAACCGTGTCCATCACCTTTCCAGCCGATAGGACAGTATTTACCTTTTTCAGAGCACGTCCGCCGGGTGAAGCGCACTGTTTCGACTGTTCCTTGATCGCTGGTGTCTACTAGTGGATCCATGTTTTGTCGACGGTCCAGAAACTCCTTTGGATTGCGCTTAAACCGCGTCAAACACTGCTTTCAAGTGGTCTCACGGTTTCGCTTGTTGTCCGCAAACGCGGCACCCATCGCGCAGACACTTTTTTCATGCAGGATATGACCCATGGGGTCTTTTGAGATCCCTACTGTGTCAGCTATCCCACAGCACGGGACCAGCGCGTGGCTTATCAAAAACCGACGAGAAAGAAACACGTTGAAACTCTTTAATCCAATGTTTGACAGTCGCGCTATCGAAGTTTTTTTCGCCTTTGATTTCGCTTCGTGATTTTTCTTCCAGAAGTAAGAATCGAATGACCGACCCATATTGCTCTTTTTTTCAAAGAAAACTACGATTACGATTCGGCTGAAATTTCTACAGTAGCCGTCTACGAGAATGTACTACACGATAGTAAATTTATTTTGCGATAGTGGCGCCATTGGACAGCAAGGCTAAGTACTTATGGGACCGCCCTCGTATATACACAGATCGAGATTATCAATCCTTTTGGAGATTTTTTACATTTTCCAAGCCCATATCCATCCTATCAATACTTAACAAATTTACTGCACTAGATTTTGCATCTTAGCATCCTCTCTTTTAAATATGTTCATGTTAATTCGTTCCGCGGGAATGTAATAATGCCCAACATGTGTTTGTTATAAAATCAAGAATTTTCGAAAACCGTGGCACTTGACTGCTCAGAAAGTTCACAATGGATATGGAAAGTAGATCTACAAAGTTCGAGCACATTTTGTGCATATCGAAATAGGATACAGAGATTGAGTAAGCAAGTTAGTTTTCAGGAATAAGTGGGATAAATTAAAATTATATTTAGGTAGTCGCTGGTAAAAACAACCAGTTTATGGTGTTCATTCATTAAAACTCCACTTTTGAAAGTGACATTAAATATTTTTTTCGGCCCATTACGGTTATATTGTCAAGGTTATAATTATATTCTGTGATCAATTTTCATCAAATTATTGTTTCGACGCTCAATTTATATACTAGCCATACTTGAACTTGATATGTTGCACCGTAAATGCAATAGAATTAATTAATAAAAATAAATCATTTAATTGTTATCTATTTTGTAAATGTAGCTTGTTCGTTTTTCATCTCTAAATGATTTGTTATAAAATTGACTCCAAGTAATAAAGATGGTTGTAATAAATAACATTGTTTCAATGGTACTTGAGTTATTTTCCATCACTAAGCGGTTTATGAACACAGAGGCTAAATCTCACCGCGAATATTTCAGATAATGCTTTCTTACTGTTTTCTTGATGATGATTTCTTGCTAATAATTCAATAATTTTGTCAATGTTATATCGCATAGTTCCCATATTTTGAAGATAATGTATTTACTTTCAATACAGTTTGCATATAAGGTAAGCTAATTTTATCGACCACCTTCCATGTTTATAGACATTTATATATAAAACTACACATTCACTCGAAAAAATAAAAAATTGTAGTTCGTAAAAGGTCATGTTCTAATTAGTCGAGAAATAATAAATAAGTCTTATTCGCAAACCATTAATAAAAGGCTGACGATCTAAATGAGCGACAAACCAGAAGCGCTGTCTAGAATGATCATTCAAGCACACCTGGTGCGAATCTTCAAAGTAAAGCAAACGGTCTAATTCGTTTACCTTATGTGCCAAGAAGAATGTGAACAATAGCAGCTCATAGGTGAAGGTAAGAGCATAAGCAAAAAAAAATTGTGGCTGAGAGACGTATGTCTGGAGGACCCACATAGACCAATTGGTATTGGTATTTGCGTCGGTACGGAAACACTCTTATTTATATAGAACTGAACTATTAATAAAAGAAAACGATGATTTTAACTGTATTAATATGGCAAATTCTATTTAGGCAACGAATAATAATAGGAAAGTAAGCAGAACAAGTAAAATACAATACAGTGTCATGAAATAATCCTGATAAATCGTGGGTTTAAAGCTAAAGTCCAAAATTGCCGTATTTGTTGACCAAGTAATTTAAAAAAATAAAATATTTGCTTTAAAAAGCTGACAGCCACACAAACAGGTGCACTAAAATACGTTTTTAATGACTTTTAATGATTCAAATTTAGTAGTGCATTTATTTACCAAAAATTGGTGTTTTAGAATTCAGTTTTAGCTTTAAGCCCACGAAATTACACAATTTTACTACGTTATCGCTTTAACTAAAGTTTTTCAATTGTGTATAGATTATATACGGTTAAATCGTGAAACTTCATTATTAAAAATGAATGAAATGTGAAGAGGGAAGCCATACAAATAAGTTTGCAAAAACGAATGAAATTTGTTCGTAACACATGTAAAATAAATTTATGAATAATAAAAACATCGATCTGTTTCCGCTCTGCTAAAATAGCAGAAGACTAGATGCAATATAATATATGTATTTCTTAATAACAAATTTACATTTACATTTGTTTCTTGTACTATAAATGAGTGAAGCAAGCAGTACATCTCAGAAAACTCAACCTGCTATTAACTAGCGGTTTCGGCTTTTCTTTTCATTTTTCGTTCACACTTTGGACATTTAGCATCTCCCGCATCATCCCAACATTTCAAGTGGTAGCATGTGAAACATTGTGAACATCTGATAACCGTTCGCATCTGCCATGGAAATATTATATCGTTCGCGTTGCAGAATTCGCAAATGTATCCTCGAGCGAGACAGAGCTAAAATTATTTGGAATATAATACGCTTTGTTCTATGCGGTATAAGAACATTTAGCATCTATCCATGATGGTTAGGAAAGTAGCTTCCGCAAACAATACATACTTTACATTCGGATGTATGTCTAAGGCAAATTTCGCCTAAAAACTTCAGTTTTGTTTTCAGTTCGCCATTTTTTATATTGACTAGATCATCTATGGAATATTCATCGGGTTTCGATAAAAAGTATGGGGGCAAATCCTTCTCCAGTCTTTCTTGCACTCTACAAGTTTCAATTAAGGTTAATTGTGTTCATGTTAGCAATTGTTAATATCAAACTTCGATTAGAAGAAGATATTTAATACAATGTAGAGAGGATGATGAGCATATTCGGCAACTCTACAACTGCATTTTAATTGAAGTAACAAATTTGAATTACTTACGTTTCAGCAAACCGGCAGGTAAAAATATACTCCTTAAGATAAAATAAACCCACTCTATATTTTCTAATAAATTCTAGATTCTTTGAAAATTTTCTAATATTTTTGTTCAAGTCAAATATTCGAAATAATGGATCACTGTACATTTGCTCCAAGAGCTTAAAAGAAAATGTGGATACTGGATACCTAAAACACAAAGATTGATTACTAGTATAGTTATATCCGGGGGGAACAATATTTTCATATTATTATATTTCAGTAATTAATTAACTAATTCGAAACGGAACAAAGACGTATATGTATAAGCCCCAGGCAAACACGTTAAATAAATAACAACTGGAAGGTGCAAAAAGGTGTAAAAAATGATTTGTTCTGCTGAGATCGGTAGCTTCTATAGCTTAGGCTTAAGTCAGTTATATTATACTTCATTACTCACCGATGGAAGTCCCATTTATACAAGATTCGTGCTGGTATTAGCGCTACTTGGTTTTTGTGGCATCCGGTACAAAAATATTTTCCTAAGTAATTACAATAACGAAATTTTGAAGCGTATTGTTCCGCTACTACGATGCCACAACCAGCACATTTGAAATGTTGTTTGTTCATTATTTCTTTTCGCCTGAAAATAGATTCGCTTCAATTGGTTTTTTGTTTATAATCAGTAGTAGTTTTAATAATCAATTACAATAAGTAGTTTTAAGTCTATAATTGAAAAAATCCCTATTAGTAAAATCTAGAAGACATAATATTTTTCACCTACCTCGGTGCCCGGCTACGACTTGGTTAAAATAAATTTGATTCCAAAAATGGAATAGTGGTGTATATGTAAAAAATATTTTTGAGTTTACTGAGGTTCAAGTCGCATAGATGCCATTTTTTGCATTGCGAGATAGAACGGCAATTAAAATGATTGTGCATTTCACATACATTGTTCATGCAAATACATACATTGCGCATGTAAAGGTGAGCATGCACTTAGAAAAAAGTACTCTATCTCTGAATTCTTACAATGATTTCGAACTATTGATGCAAACATTAATAGTTTAGTATGTTTACAAAACAGCATATCATCAAACGCAAGGAACTCTAAAATAATGAAAAAAAATATAACGTATCCTGTAACCTAAGCCTTTGTGGAGAGAGCTATGTTTACATGAACTTTTTGTGATATTTTTAACCGAAGAATACTCTTCAGCATTGTAATTTTCACCAACCTAATAATTTTAAATATGAACATATTTATGTTCATATTTAAAATTAAATTAAAATTTAAAATAAAAAGTTCATATTGTTTATTTAAACAACATCKCTTTAAATTCGGTTGTATTCTAAAATTATTTCGCATTTTATGATTGCTTGAGGCTCTCCAATGTCCTAAACACAAAAAGAAAGATTCGACTTATCACACAAATTTCATGCATAATTGTTTTTATGTTGGTAGTCAAATTTCGTCACTGATGACGTGCGACCAAAGTTTTAGTGTATGGAGTAAACAACCTAATTTCGGTCACCCTGTATTGATGTTTATTCTCCAGCAACTTTCCTGATGTATGCTAAATTATATAATGAACCAAAACATGCAACTCTGAGAGTCTAATTTGGATGATTCTTAGAACGATCCCATTTAAAACAAAAACTTAGAAAAACATTGACAATATTTTATCGCCAAATCAAAATATTGGGAAGGATAAAAATAAAAAATTCACTTACGATGGTGATGGAAGTAACGTTAATACTATCTGAGGTCTTGGAGGTGCCCAATCTCTTGTACCACGTAGTGGGGTTACGAGTTGCTCATGGCCATCAGGATTCACGGGCCAACTTTTTGGCAATGGTAACAGTGCTTGAGGAGCTTCTTCTTCAGATACCAACCATTCTAAATCGGAAGCTCTAGAAGAAGAACAGTGTAAAACATCCACGGATACAATTAAGTTGTTCAAATAATACCGAGTGGTGTTTAAATTAAATTAAAAGTTGTTCGATTTGAAATTTACTGCGAATGCAACAATTTACTTAGTTTGCTTTTTTTAGAAATTTGCAATTTCCACTTACTTCGGTAAATGTTTCTCATTAAATTTACTAAGTAGTGAGAGAGCAACGCCTTCAGCACTGAGAACATCTGATGCTGTAACTACTGTAGCCACCTCTGAAGCTCCATCTGGTGCGCCTCTAGGTTTCCGCAAAATATCAGCATCAGAATACAGAGATGCCATGGACATTGACAAACCTGCATACAAATAATAAATGCTAGAAACAGCTAAAATATTTAAAAACTCAGGTAAATCCGAATTTTACATAAAAAAGCACACTCCAGAACTGATTACTTAATTGGTTTTTCTAGAACTCTCCTACGTACAGCAATATTTTGAAAGAGCGTTCTTGAACAGACGATAATATGTCCAGATAATGCAGTATTGACGCGCAACTTTTCTAGCCAGTTTTCCCAAAAAAACAAAAGTAATCAACTTTTGCTTTGGATTTTGACATGTTTTTTTTGGTCGAAGTTACACAATTTTCAAGTTTCAAGTATATAGGGTGATTCACAACCTATGAACACAGAGCAGGGGCGTCTGGAGGACCTCAAAACAAGTCGAGTTTCCATTTAACTTTTTTTCTTATGCTCGTGGCTATTGAGATACAGGGTGTTAAAGTTTGAAAAAAATATTGGTATTTTCTCTTTAACTCCTACAGTTTATGAGATATTTTGCTCAAATTTTTAACGTAACCACGAGCTTCAGAAAAGAAGTTAATGGAAACTCGACTTATTTTGAGGTTCTCTAGACGCCACTGTTTTGTGTCCAAAAGGTTGTGAATCACCCTGTATATTAAATTATCATCGACAAAAATATTGCTGATTAAATTTAAAGTGAAGTAAACCGTGCCAAATTTTACAAATAATTACCTTGATTTTCCTTTAGATTGTTAGCTTCATCAATCTCCAAATCATCTACTTCTTCAGAGCTGCATTCCGAAGGGCAGTCAGTAGGTGTGGAATTGGGACTGACTGTAGTAGCCGCTAACATATAAAAAATAATTATTAAATCGACATATAGGCACATGTTTTGCAATAAATTCAATTCAAGTCCAGTCATCAATTCAATTCCAGTCAAATATTAGAAATCGGGTTTTTCGGCGTTAAACGTGGTTAATTTCCAAAAAAAAAAATGAGTACGTATTTATTTACAAAATTCTATAACTTTGACTTATTACATTAATACAAACCAAACTTATAATATTTATGAACCAGCCCAGGGCCTGGGATTCCCATATCATATTTTTTTAAATATACGACCTTACTACTTGTTGTCCATGTTGGTTCAACCAACCTTTCAGATGTCTATTAAAAGGAAATATTTTTTTATGAAAAAAATAACCTTAATTTTTCAAAATCATGAAAAATACTTATAAAATGTTAGAAGGTAATCGTAACTTATTTGAATAAATTATCTGAAGTGTAAACCAATTAAGTAAATTAATATACCGGGTGTCAGTTTGAAAACTTTCTACCCTTAATATCTTTCCTGCAGTTAAAAATATGAAAAATCGGAAAGACCCGTCAATTTTATTTGTAAGGGGACACTTTAAATAATTATTTTTTTAGCCCCCTTGTTTCAACCCCTGAGAAGGGGTAGACGTCACCCTGATAGTATTAAATGGGAATGGGGGTCAAGTGGCACATCGTTTTAAAGGGCGTTCAATTATCTTTACATTAGTTACTAGTTTGTTGCTTTTTGTCCAGAGGTTATAGAATAATCGCGTTTCAAAGTTACAGAAACAATTAAACTTGCCTGCATTGAGATTTTGGAATAAAAAATTAATTATTAAAAAAATTATGTTGCTAAAAAGCAAATTGCTGCTAAAAAAAGGAGCAATATTTAATTATTAATTGCTGAAACTGCAATCTTTCTTGTGCTGCACCCTATTTATTGTGTCTTGATTAATTTCCTTGACAAAAACGCAATTTTATTAAAATTCCATAACGAAAACATTTGTGCAGAATCCAAAAAAAAAAACGAAAGCTCCCATTAGAATTTTTCAACTTGAAGATCGTATCTTAATTTTCAAAACACCCTTTGTGCTCACATACACACACGTTTTTTTTATCAAAAAATGTGCAGTGCACTAACGAATAATAAAATACATGTTGGATTATATTTCTGAAAGTAAATTTTAATCGAATCTTATCCTTTCTTTATACACACTGAATATATTATATTAAAGTTAAAGCACCATATAATAAATTGTCGGGTTTATGTTACTTTTCCTTCGGCCTTTATGCGTCAATAACTTACAAAACGAAGCAAGTTGTGAGACTCAGTGGAAGCGGTTCAATATCTGTCTGACTAACAAACGAATAAATGTGGGTGACTTTTTTATCGAGAATTGTGGCAGTGAAGAAAATCCGATAAGAAACATATAAAAGATAACAACGAAAATCAAAAAGTGGTTTATGAGACACATTAGAGAGTTAAAAACATCTGTTAAAGCGATGAAACCAAACATTTTATGCACTTTTTGGTGGACCAATTAATAAATTGCAAATTTAGCATCACAAATTGAATTGCAGTTGCAATTCAGCCATCACAAATTGAAGAAATTAAGACCAACGATTATACATAAAGTGCACTAGATATTTTCAAGTAATTACCAAACTGAAAAATACTCGAAATTCTGAGCTTTCTTCGTTCATCGGAGCAGATTTACATTGCTAATATATTATTTTTTGCATTTGTAATCGTGGCAAATTTCCGCTTTGAAAAATGACCAGAGCAGATTTTTCACAGTTGCAATGTGTTGTATTTTAATTGGCAAATAAAATAAACTATATTCACAGTACAACTGATGCCAGTTAGATGATTGAGAAACTTCTGTATTTGAGACGAAGTTCCTAATTGTGTTCTTACAAAATATAAAATATCTTAGTATTCATTATCAGTAAATCTGCTCCACTTCATAGTGCCTCCAAACACAGTTGTAACTTATTTGAATAACGCAAAAAGAAAACAAAATCTTATTTGATCAACTTACTATCAGTTCGTCCATCACTCAATAAAGAAGCAGACATCTGTTTCCATCGATGATCCGGGATATGCTGTCCTCTTCTTCGACGAATCCTCTGCTCGGTGCTTCTATCGCCACTATCGTCACTATCCGACAATAATTTATTCCGACAACTCATATCTTTATATTGGCACTTTAGCTTTTCCATAGCTGATATTATGGCCTCTGAAACACTGAAATGTGCATTTTCCCTGTCGAGTTCAGCGTGACTAGATGCGAGTTTGCTTGATGCTAAGTAGGAGGTGAGACTTTGTCCTTTGATAGGTTTAGGAAAGTATCCTTGTCCTGTCGACATTGGTAGAATACTCATTCCACCGTCTTCAATAAAGCTTTTTGGTTGATGTCTGCTATAATCTTTTTCACCTATAATAAAATTTAATGCAGCATAATTTAAACACGAAAGCATATGGAAAGATAAATTAGAAGATATACCGGATGGTTCATTTAATTTGAGCTACATATTAAAAAAAATGACCCATTATATAAGAGAATGTGTGGAAAAAAATAATAAAATGTTGCAGTTTTTTGCCTTTATGGTTTTCAAGATGTTTAGCGAGTTTTTCTTTCAGATGTTTAAATAAAAAACTTGCGTTTTTTTCTAAAGTTAACTAAACTAAACTTACTTATTTACACAGTTGTGAAAGAAACGAGTTTTTATTGTAACGTTATTTCGATTACAACAAATGAAAATATTAAGTAACAAATTATTCGATAGGTTTAAGCAGAGATACCTAAAATTAAGTCTCTGATGAATGTTTAATGTACAACACTCCATAAATGAATTTCTATTCCTTGAATAATTAGTCCTTTTCAGGAACATTTTTTTGTCTTCTGCTCTTTAATTGAATATCCAATGCGACCTTCGCTTACACCTTCAAAAGTGAGTCGCAATAAAAAAATGCAATTTTATTTTATTTACCCCTCTATTCTGACCTCTATTTGGGTCATAATCTTATAGAATGTACTTTAATATTAATTAAATTGACCATTCGGTATTCTAAATCTTCTTTCTCACCTTGCTGCGGCAGAAAACTATAATCCATCATAGATAGCGGACTTTGTGAAAAAAACCTTCGACGTTTCTCAGTTTTCTCGTAAGAAGTGCTTGGAGAACAGTGGCTCTCACCATCTTCATGAGCGAATCCGCTGCTCTGACTGCTGCTTAACGGAGGCGTAAACTCAACTATGTCACTGTTGTTAATTAAAATGGTCTTTACATGTTTTGGACTAAGTTTATATTTTCCCGTAGATTTTTTTAGGCTAGCTTTAGGTATTTTTGCTTCTAGGGCTTTATAATCTACTTTGAGCACACTTGGCGATATTTTCTTTGTGTGAATTGGAGTATTTGGAGTTGTTTTGCTCTCAAATCGGACCCTTTTAGCGGCTTTAACGGAACTATCTATTGGCAAAGCAGGCAAACTAGACCAAGGCTTCAATTTGCCTATAAATTGTCTCCTAGCTGCTGAATTCGCATTTTCAACTATATCACCTACATTATTTAAGGCACTCGGTTTAGGTTTAGTTCCCGAATACTTGAATCGATTATCAGGAAACGATGAGGTTCGCCGGTGAATCTGAACAAATTCTTTTGAATGGCAATTTGTCAAGAACAGGGAGGGATTGATGTCTGATAAGAAACCTGCTTGATTCTTTTCTACTGCTCTCAAACATATCAAAGTGGCTTCGGCATATTCCTTTTGGCACAGGAATGCCCATGACTCATAACATGAGTGCAAGTGAGAATCATCTAATAACCATGATAGTTTAAAACTTATGGAATGAGATTCCAAGCTTCTGTACAACCAAATAAATGATTTGTCACACTTTAATTGTGCAGGTACATGGGGACGATATTCACAGTCTAGGGCAAAGTACGATTTAGATGTTTCTGGTTGGAGCCACTCGAGGCCCTGGATAAAGTCATAGAAACAGCCTTCCTAGAAACAAAACCACATTTTCTGAGTACAGCTAATTGAATTTACATTATCATTTTATGAACAATTATTTGCATTGTGACTAGACTCGAAGAAAACATTATCTACAGTAGTGTACCAGAAAGCCAGAGCTACTGCTGGAATAGAATAAGTATATGCTACATAAACCGTAGGAGAACGTCTATGGAACTGGACACCATGTTTTTATCAAAAGAGCCGATAAAGGAACAATTCATATTTCCTACATCTTTATAATGGTAGAAATAATTATTCATTATGCATGTATTTTTTATTTATAGATATGTATATTTAAATGTTTATTTTGAATGAGTGCATCATCTTAAACAGTAGAACCGATATAGGTTTGTAAAGTAGGACAAACTAACAACAGTCAGTAGAACACTTGCATTGACTTTCGACGTAAGAACCATTTCCAAATATATTTCATTTTATCCAAGCACTGCCAGTAACGATTCATCAGACATAATGAGTAACAGAGAGGATAGGAGATAACAAAAGAGTTGCAACCACCTTCTTCGATATTTATTGATAAGATGATTTCATTAAATGATAAGTTAATGTTGAAACTACAACAACCCCCATTTCAGCAGAAATTCATGAGTTAAAGTTAGAAAAGGCCTAGATAGGTGAAAAGTTAACAGTGAGCCAGGGAATGCAGAAACGGCGATGACAAAAACTTAGAGATACCTAATAATAGTATTTAATTTAACTACCTCTGAAGTGGTTTTGCACCCATGTTGAAATATCTTTTCCAGGCATAAATAAAGCCGATTTAATCCCCCATATACAGACCAAACATTGGCAACTTGGGACACTAGCAATCCTTCTACTGTGCTCTTCAAGCTTTGAAGATATTGTTTGTAAATTGCCTCTTCTGGCATCCTTAAAGATTTTACGTGGTAGCACCAAAAGTTGAAATGCAGGCAGACAAGTAAACTAGTAAAATTGTGTTAAATGTATTATTCATATTGAGTTCACTTTATTGACTGGGGGATTAACTTGGGTTTGTTATTGTCTTCTTCTTTTTCAAAACTCATCACAAGAAGACGACATGTCCCGCTTCGTAAGACAGGCCGCAAACAAGGATTCGTGACGTCACCAGAAAGATGCGGTCGATGGTGCTCATGTAATTTATGTCTATTCGACTTCTTGTTAATTGTTCATTTCGTGTTAATTTTGCTTTAAAGTACATTTCAAATAAAGCACATTCAGCGAAAAAAAAAGCGGATGTGCATAAATTTAAGAATTGTTAAGAAAGATTAAAGAAAACGCGATTGCTCAGTGCTGTATGCTGTTAATTAATCTTGTCATAACAACTATAGTGTGATCAACTCTTCTTCAATGTTACGTCACATTTCGTGTAATTATTATTATTGCTTTGATGATTGTACTGACAGTAAGATTTCATAATTATTGGTCAACGTTGCTTCGCATATTTTGTTTATACAACAAAAAAGAAATAATTAACAGATGCAATAAAATATTTTATCAATAATTTTCTTTTATTATCTCCCAGTAATATTACAAACTACCCGAATGTATTCAGAAATTTTGTTTGACATACAATTTTAAGAAACTGACATACAATTCAACATGTAGGGTATTGGCCATCCAAATCCACTATTTTAAATCAATTAATTAATTAATTGTTTTTGACTACTGGGTTTTCAAAGCGTTTTACTTAAATCTAGTAGTTAGGTTTGTAGGATTAGCAATCAATGAATAACGAAGTAAATATTCATATATTTATTATCATTCTTTTTTAAACAAATAACATTATTAATACACGGTTGAAAGCCGCCAGCAGCCATTACGGTGTTTTCTTGGTTGCCTTATATCTGGCATATGAACGCAAACGGAAATATTTGACAGCGGCATTCAATTGTTTGGAATTTTGTAGAAAAGCTTTGTTTGTTGAAAAGTTTGTGAATTCTTCGGTTTTTCACATTTTCAAAAGTTATTGCCGTAAAAAAAATCGACAAAATGACATCCACAACTCTTGCGTCGATGAGTTTGGTAAGATTTGAACTGCATTTCATATACGCTCTTTTTAGCAGACTTTTGTCAGAATTGTTTTTCATTATCCTTTAGCAATCAGCCATGTCCAAGTTAAACATTGAAAACCTATTCAGGAAGTGTCGTTACGTGTTATGTTCTAAGAAGTATTTAAAATCTACATTTGTTTTAGTCTTTTCGGCTTGCAATTTTATATGTTGCGCCATTCTTTACTCGCGCGCACTTTACATAGGTTTCCAACACAGAACACCTGTTTTCAAGAGGAAACTAGGAAATGTACCTTCAAAATTAAGTATAAACTGACTTTGCAATTCTGATCTGCATGATTAGTATTGCAAATAACTCGAAAAACTCTATACTAAATATACAGGGTGTTTCAAATATGGCCTACATGAATTAGTGTTTACCTGAGGTTGTTTCATGCGGAAACGTTTATATATGGCATCGGTCCTCAAATACTATACGTTACCGATTATTCTACTTATTTTCTCTTACAGCTTTTCTCATTTTCAATATATTTCGCTTGGAATAGGGAAAATTGAAAGACTTCTTTCCATATTCTGCTTGCAGCATTGGGCAACCTAAATGATATCGCATACACCTTTCAACTCGCGCCTATACATATATATATATTCTTCAGGTTTTGACGAACCGCGATGTAAAAAACTCAGTAAACACTGTCCAACTATCCAAGAAATATGTCAAGAGACTGGTGAAAATCTCGATTTTGAACATTATTTACCGGCGAATTGCGATTTCGGAGAAGGAATTTGAGGTGAAGAAATATGAAAACATTCCCTACAGAGTATGTAAACGCAAGTCTCAAAATACCTTTATGAGGGTATATTATCATTCGGTTACCAATAGTATGATTGAAGCTATAGAAAAGGATTATGTAAGTAGTTAACAATCTATAAAGATTTTAATTATTTTGCCCGTTCCTTAATAAACAGTGTGTCTGTTTCCGAAAAAACTAACCGTCTTCACTTCCGAACTTCACAACCCGGTTCGAATTAAAAGCTAAAATTAGCTTAAGTACTTTAATAGGCAGACAAAAACACTCCGAACAAACGAACAACTGAACAATCTATATAAAACGCCACAAAACAAGGGTGTGGTAACTAAACAAAAAGACCTGAACGCTGTCCCACCCTGTGCGCATCTCTCTCTTATTCTTTTTACCACCCGTTTTCTCGGTCTACTGACCCACTAACGGGACCTCTAAAGACTCGACAGAGATGAGGTTGATTCTTGACAAAGGTGAATCTTAATGGCTCTAATTGTCTGTAAAATTCAGCTGACTCTTAACAATATTTATTTTTCAAAAATAAAGCATTAAGTTGGAGTGCTCTATTCTTCTGTGCTTCATTCTATTCAAAGAATATTATGCAAAGTAAACATTTCAGCTGAAGGAAATTGTTATGCACATCATCGGAAAGGATAATAATGACGATCCCTTGGAAACTTACAATATAAAAATTAAATATAACAAACAAGATTCCAAGTCTAATCAGAAAAGTTCAGCAGTAAAAGCCGCAACCATGGAGTATTTAAAAGCTCTGAGTGGAATACCAGGGAAGAAGTGGCAAGAAGACAATGTGAAAATGTTTTTCGAGATTTCTTATAACGAAGGTTTGTATGCTCTGAAGCAACAGGAACTTTTTCGTAACCAAACTGGTTATCTGTTATTCAGGCGTTCCAATTGAATATGAGCCTCCTAACTTTGAACCAGCCAAAAAACTGCTGTGTTCTAACCCAAATAGAATAATAAGCTTGGGAGCTATTTCTACTGGCTTTCATAAAGTCAGTATGTGGGGCCGCGGCGTAAATGTAAGTTTGTAAATGCAAAGCACATCTATGGGATAATATAAAACAGTGAATGGTCTTCTGGATGCGCGTATAAACGTTGGTTTTGTTTTTCGACGCAGTTTGCCGAAATCCGAGAACTTACTCCTTCTGGAAATAGTTCAGTCCCAGTAAGTAATACGAAAAACCACTTATTGGAGGATGACGATAACATGGAAGACATCCCTGAGGTGAAGCGGAAGCAGAACAGTAAGAAGTTTTCACGCGTATAAGTGTTCATTTCAAAGTATTCCTCTCAGGTAAAAGGTGCTAACTTGTTATGAAATCTTTTAGATGGTACATGCGGCGAAAATGCGTCAAAAAAACGTAAACTGCAGGTCATATCACCTAGTTGTGACATAAGTACAAATGGAGGCAAGTTTTACGTATAAAAATCACACTTCTATTATCTACTTATACTGTTAAGAGATGATGATCAAACCAAAAAACTGGCAATTTTTAGAACTTGATTGGGGAAATATTTCGATCATGTCCAGTGAAGATGACACATACTGTCCGTGTAAATGGCGACTGCCTGACAAATATGAAACCATAAAATGCACAAAATGTTTTGCAAAAGTGCATTTAGCATGCCACGGATACATCAATATCGAAGCTGTTGATAAAACTAAGTTTAGCTGCTATACATGTTCATATTCTAGGACTGGCAAGAACAAATTAAACAAAATGAATTTGTTGATAAAAACGAGGTAAGTTTTAGCTTAACCATTCCATACATCCGTTTTCAGCAGGTACAGTATTTAGTTATAAATTGTTACAAACAAGCGAATTTTATTTTCGGAAAAGACTTGATTATCTAAATCAGAATGACATCAATGTGCGTTAATTGTCTTTTACGTATAATTTGAAGACAAGTTTACAATGTTTGAATTGTTGTCCCACTCGCATTTGTCAAGAAAATTAAATTGGCATCTTATTTTAACTACATATTTAGGAGGTACACACAAGATACAAAATAAACAATGTGTTTAAATGTTTTAATCTCCCGCACTGGTCAAATGAATAAGTTGAGAAAGTATTGAGAATATTTGAATTATATTGGTACCTTGTTTTAGCTATTTAGGAGGTACCCACAAGATATAAAATAAGTTTAATCCAATTTTGCATTTATTAGAATTTTCATATTCAGCATGAGTACAACATTTTTTGTCTATTTCAGAGCAATTCTCTATGGAATTCAACTTGAAAAGTCTATTCCAAACGAAATGAAGTTGGCTACTAAAGATGAAGCTGCGTATATTCTAGAACAACTAGACTCACTTGGAGTTATTGACTGCTCGTCTTCTTCGTTTAGGTAAGTTATCGTTCGTGAAATTCGTGTAATCTCGAATGATGCACTTTTAAAGAGACCTAATCTGATAATTAATAACAAAATATGTTTGACGAACAAAGAACTGATAGTCCATTTAGAATAATATGCCTTTCCCGTACATTTGAGGTAAACGTTCTCAGAAGAGATACATCGTTGGTGAATTGCGTTTCAATCCTATACACATTATTTTATTATTTTTTAGCAAGATCAACGAAAAGTCCTTAAGCAGTGCAATCCTGGCAACATTTAATTTAAAAGATGCTCAAAACCTAGCTTAGGTTAATTAAAAAAAAAAACGTTTTTTACATTTGTTACATACTTATTACTGTTAATTAATACTACATATTTATTACTGTTAATTAATTGTTTATGATATACTTAATTGTTGTAGTTTCAAAGAGACAAATATTTTCATTCCAATGTAATCATCGTCGACTAGTTACTCCCTTATTATTACCTTATGTAGTACTTTCTATGTATTACCGAATTTGTTCCGTGTTCGTTTTGCGGATTACATTTAATAAAAAAAAAATTATTCAATGAAAGTGAATTGTCTATTATAGTTGAATAATGTGAAAATTTTGAGTTCCTCAATATATGGAAAAGCAAAAACTATTTTTAAATCTCAAGATTTTTACTCAAGGTAAAAATGTATTTGAAGAGCTAATGGTTTTAGAAGAGCTTTTTCTTATATATTTCTTATAAGCATGCAATGTAAAATGATGTCCAGATATACCTTTTATCGTTTCGTTCATTGCAATTTTCAAAAAAATGATAAACACCTTTCGAAGTTCTTTAGAAATGCAATGGCACAGATCAAAAAAATCGCTACATTTTCTCGTGATTAGACGAGCGCTATCGCTAGTGTATCGATATTGTGTTGGTGCCCTAGTGAAATACTGCCAAAGCGTCAATTGATATTGTCAATGTCACTTTCTTGCAAGTCGCCAAGTTACAGGCAATTTTGTTGACTGTTTAGGTTGGATTTCTGAGTTATTTTAGAGAAATAAAATAGTTTATCCTAAAAAATCATTGAATTGCAAAAATGTCGTCAAGATATGATCGTGCAATCACCGTATTCTCTCCTGATGGACATTTATTGCAAGTTGAGTATGCACAAGAAGCGGTTCGAAAAGGATCCACCGCAGTAAGTACAATTGAAATGTTCAGCAACAAAAGTTGGTAATGTTCTAACAATTATCTCCTGGGTCAAACATTTGCCCTTAATAGCATTTAATCGCAACCACCGTTTTTTGTAGGTAGGTGTTAGGGGAACGAATGCTGTAGTTCTAGGGGTAGAAAAAAAGTCCGTTGCTAAACTCCAAGAAGAACGCACAGTGAGGAAGATTTGTCTTTTGGATGAGCATGTCGTTATGGCGTTTGCAGGACTAACCGCCGATGCAAGAATTTTGATTAATAGAGCTCAAATCGAGTGTCAAAGCCATAAGCTCACTGTTGAAGATCCTGTAACATTGGAGTATATTACACGGTAAATCAAATATATTTTCTTAATCTTGCTTACTTAAACGGCTGTGATTAATATTTCTAGATACATAGCAAGTCTGAAGCAAAAGTATACGCAAAGTAATGGTAGAAGACCATTTGGCATTTCCTGCTTAATTGGTGGCTTTGATTATGATGGAACTCCTCATTTATATCAAACTGAACCTTCTGGAATATACTACGAATGGAAAGCCAATGCTACTGGTAGATCTGCCAAAACAGTGAGGGAGTTTTTGGAGAAATACTATACTTCTGAGGAAGTTTCAACAGAGAGAGGTATTTACTGAACATAATATCACTTCTTTTCACAGAGTCATAATAATACTTAATCTTTCTGGCCACCAGTTATCATCTTCCGCAAGTAAAGTAAAATCTTTCGACCGAATGAAAATTAAAATAATTTACCATTTTTTACCTTACATTACCTAAGAGTGGGAGTCCTCGAGGCATCCTTACTAAATATAATATGCCGGAAACCTCTTGAGATATTTTATTGCATTATTAATTTTGCTATTTAGTCAGTTAAAATTAATCGTCAGTAATTTCAAAGTTCGATTTAAAATAACTGTTGATGTGAGAAAGAGGTGCATTAAGTAATACGATGTTGTACGAAGGGAACTTCAGAAAGGGTTTTTGTTTGGAATTAAAAAAGGAATGAACGGGTAAAAAATATTTTTTAAATAAATCAGCCATAGCTATTTACATGTGCAAAGTTTCATTAAATTAAGTTTCGCGGCTTCGGATGTACAATTAATATATTTTTATGGTTTTAAATAAAACTTTAACACCATGTATTTTCGTAACGATGCTCTTAAGAATCTTATTCATAAGAAATTTTTATCTTAAAATGATTCCAGCAATCACCCATTAAAGTTGCCACATGCCCAGCATGCTCTGGAAACACCCTGTATAACGGTTTTTGCTTCGGAATAAATTCAAAATTGAATAGTGATATGATTTTTGCACGTTGTATCGATTTTGTCACTGTCAAACTATCATAATCTAGTGATAACTCGCTAATAAAAAAAGTGGTTTTACTGTTTCATATGAACATTCCTTGTAGCTGAATGAAAATGTAATATATCAAAGATATTTCATATATCTGTATTTCAAGAAATCCAACCCAAATTTTGTTCCCAAAATTAGAGCAATAATTTAAATTTAAATCCACTGCAAAAAAAATTGTATAAAGCAACACGTTGGGTTTAAGGTACTATTAAATTAGCCATACGAGCCCTACTGGAAGTTGTTCAATCTGGGCAGAAAAATCTTGAGATTGCTGTAATGAGACATGGAGCGCCAATAAGCATGTTGGATGCCGAGACTATAGAAAAATATGTAAATGAAATTGAAAAAGAAAAAGAAGAGGAAGCTGAGAAAAAGAAGTCCAAGAAATAATTTTTTAAGGCAAATATTGGTTAAAGTTAAGTCTTCATGTATTTTGCAGTAAAACGGTAAAATGGTAAAGTGGTTTTAATTTATAAATGTAAATCTTAAACCTTCCTATATACCTTTGCTTGAACGCCCTGCTGAATAGAACGTTCTAAATAATAATACGGGAAATAAGAACAGCACTATTTCTATATAATTTTATTCAAATAAAAAATCGTAAATCAAATTTTTACATACCACGGATACATAACTTTCTAAAAGCAAATACCTAGAAAACTTTCAGAAATTTCCAACTAGAATATCACTCAAAATGTATACATAAATTATAAGTTTTTTTGTGATGATTTATTCGAGGTTTGATATTACAGCACTATCAAAACACGCACAATTTTAATGAATCCAAAATTAAATATTAAGGATCGAAATACGCGTTCAATTTGGTTGATGGCTTCATGGACTTCTGCATATTTAAATAAATGTAATAAACCTAACATACTTTTATAATGCAATCTTAATGCTTATGATACTACAGTGAATTTTTGAATCAATTGTATGACAGTGCTACTAATCATAAGACCATGAGTAGGAATAAATACTAATTTTTTAAATGATCGAATGAATAGAGTGCAAACATTTATTAATTATAATATACGCAGCATTCACTTTTTGTTACATTTATAAGGTAATATTGGCACGACGCATTCATTCCTCATTCACAAAATCTTAGTTGCTCCTATATACATACCTACAAAAAAATAATTAGGAATCGATTAAAACATGGAAACTTTTCGCGAGACACCGCTTTATTTCCCATATGATTGATATTTTTGAGTAAGCACAGTGTTGCGTTTGTGCTAGTCCATATGAGGGAAGCTATTAATAGCAGATTACATTTTTTAAATCTAGACGGTAGTTGCAACTCGAAAAGTTACCGTTTTAGACCTTACAATTATACAGTGACTTTGAGGTAAAGTAGACATACGTAGTTCTAACTGAATTTTCTAATATATTTACTTTAAACTTACGTCAAATTTATAACGTTATTAGTAAAATTGACGTCAGTCTTTCACAAAAATGGACAGAGCAGAGTAATTTTTGGAAGTGCGATACAACTATTACAAATAAAATACACCCAACTGGAATGGTAACAATATAATTAAGCATGTTATTAGAGCTAAAACAGCCTCTACATTTACTAATTCGCTATTGTACTACGTCCATGAAATTGTCTAGAAGAAGCTGCTCAAATCTTACAACTCCGGGCCTTCACACTTCCAATCTGCCTTTAAAACGTATGCTTGAAAATGTCCATACAAACACTTTGCCCTATTTCAAGAGTAATTAGAACACAATTTTACACTAAACAATTAGTAGTTTACTTAAACTTAAACCTATAATAAGTTACTTTAACACATTATTATGGCAACATACAGTGCTGTAAATATAAAAGATGTGATTCTTTTTAAATGCTTATATATACACGTTGTCGCTAGACATGCCGGTGCAAGGCTGTTGAGAAAGCGCAAATAAATCGAATGATTGATTTCTTTCACCACTTCCGCATCATCCAGTGTACAAGATCGCTTAACAAACATTCACAGTGAATTTTCTAGTCTAAGTATTAATCTGTATTATCTTAACTTTTTCTACAACTCAATAGCTTTCATCTAAGTTAAGGTAAGAAATACTGGCTTATTGATAAGTGGTTACAATCCACATTAATGGTTTTAATTATGTACTGTATTTGAACTAAAATTTATTATCGCCAATAATCTATTTTTTTCCAAAAATGGTTCAATCAAGCGGTCAATGTGCTAGAGAGTTGCCATCTTCCTTTCTATAGCATAGGCCTTAAGTAAAGCAAGTTCTCATTTAATTTGTTGCCGCAAAATGATTGTTCAACATTCGAAATTGTCATATTTTGTTACTGAAACTGAACGAGAATGTAAAAAAGTGAAGTTACTTCTGTAGTATTTTGCCACCTACAAGTTAAAGTAAATGTTTGCTAATGTTATAATTTAATTAATGTTATAAATTAATGTAATAAACGTTTACGATAACTAAAAATATCACAAGCTGATGAGTCAAAAACTAAAGATCCATCAGTGCTAGTGTTGGTCGTTTTAGAAAGTTTGCTAGTTTTAGTTTTTTTTTTAGTTAAAGTCATCTAAGTATTTTGCAAAATAATTTGCTCGTCATTTCTGCATACAGAGCCTTACAGAAATACACATTTCTTGGATTGCATTCAATCAATTTGTAATGGTAAAACACTATATTAAATATAGATCTTCAAATAAAATTTAAATAAAAATGTTTTTTTTTGTGGCTTATTATATTTTTGTGGCTTTAATTTAGAATTTTCGGACACAAAAAACTCTTCATTTTAAATTTAAATGTTTATTAAGGTTTTAATGTTTCTTTTCTATATGACGTGTCTATTTTTATTTTTTATATATGTACGGAACTGCTGTGGTGTCTACTACAATATTTGGGAAAATGGTTGGCTGAAAACAAATATCTATAATTCTTGAAAAAGGGAGATTACTTTGGAACTTTGTGTAGCTTCATTTCCATCGTTTTCTTTTCAATGGTTTTTGCTACTCTTGATGAACAGTACTACTGCTTGTTGTTTGGTTTGTTTTTCCTTTCTAGCAATGAAACATGTTTAAATTAATTTATCAAATCCAAAAATAAAATATTTTTTTTAATGTAGGGCGTTAAGTTAAAATAAAATGTTTGTATTGCTACATTTGAACGAAATTTCATATTTTGTTTCGGTCTGGCCCGAAAATTTAGAATCTGTTGACATTTTCTATGCACATTGAGGAGCGCGTTGTCAGACATAATATCTTTTTAAAAAGACAAAAGACAAAAAATAACAATTATTTATGACCAGATTTAGGTTTGAATTCATGAAAAAATAGAGTATTGACAGTCTCTATAGGCATTTCTTCTTGACAATTTAACAATTAAAGTTTGCAGCTTTTCTAGTGAGTACCTAATATAACTATACCTATACCTAGTATAGTTGAATTTCTCGAAAACTATTTCAAAATGTAATTTTAATTAATAAATCGTGTTCGAAATAAATAAAGTACATTTTTAAAAATTGTTCGGATTTATTTAATCTTCGAAATACTTCTCGTTTTACGTTGTAAAAATTGTACAGAAAAGTAACAAAGTAAAAATTGTTTTTTTTTATCTTATCTGTGACGCCTTCTATTTCGATACATTTCTAACCGTTCGTCTTTGAATTAGACTCATTGGGTTAAATTAATTGATAGCTACCATGTACTTTGGTGTCCATCCAATCGAGCGAAGAACTGATTATCATTCCACTATAACAGCAACAGCAACTTTCCTTTTGAAATTTCCGCACCATATCGGTGCGCACGAGGTTTGTGCGGATCCGTATTTATAGAAACGTCTACATCTAATTTTTTAGAGAGAAACGTATGTCTTCGAAACACCCTGTATACTTTTATCGAAGCGCGATTCGAGTATTAGAAATAGCTTTCAATTCAGTATTATTTCGCAAGTATTTAGAACAGCTGTATGATTTAGGAATTTCAGACATTGGACTGCACTCTGAAATAAGTAGCAGCAGCAGTTAGTTAACTGGAAATTATACATTGGTGCGAGCAATATTTAATAAAAAATAAGATCTTACTTAACTCAGTGCATTGGCGATAATAATAAAATTTTCTATAACAGTAAAATTCTATTTTATTATAATTAAATTAGGCAGTCGGTTATTGATGCTACGTGCATGTATTTTACATTTTAAATAGAGATAGGATTACTGTGAAAACTTTAAGGGAGGGTTCTGTGACCAGAATATGAAACTTATTACATGGAGCTTTTAGTCTATAATTATATTTCTTTCTAAGATTTTTTCTTACCTAAATATGCAGTTTTGCATGTCAGTTCTTATTCGTCTTTTCATTACTTAAATTAAATTGAATTCGTCTTAAAAATGAATGAAACGATTACTATATTTACGGTAGTTGGTTTTAGTGATGATTGCTTAAAAGAAATGTAAAATACATACATTTCTCAAAACTGCGCAAAACGAATGGGAGACAGTCTTATTGTTAAGAAAAACCTACTTACTAACACTAGAACATTTTCATGAAGGAAACGGACATTTTCGGGGGCGATGTGTTACGAATTGATTATTTTCCCTTAAAAGTGCTCACATTAATTTCGTTATTACTTTTTTAATATAGGGGTTTGCATTAACACCTTGTTTATTCCACTAACGTAATAGTCCAAAACGTGAGTATTAGTTCGGTAAAAATGAAGCTGAAGTTGGTTTTCATAGTAATCGCTTTGTAAATAACATGTCATCCGTTTTTTGAAAAATTCGAAGATAATTTTCGTAGCTATAGACCTTTATATTTCCTATTGACATATTTTATAATTATGGTATTTCAACGCAACGATAACCAACTAATCTTTAATTTTTACCCAAGTGCAATTACGTCTGATGGCTTACATTTAAATGTCTTTGGTATGAAGAACGTTACTTGTTATATTAATTTACTGCGTACTGTTCGAGATCAGTCTCCTCCCCTGGGCCCGAATACATTTGGTTTAATGTGCCAAATCGGGGACCCCACGCGCTCAGGTATTCATAATCTTGTTGTTCGTCGTCAGTGCCTGGAATCGAAATACATTGAGTGTTAAATTAATGAATACATTTCAATCAACAAAAATTGTTTACTATCGAATACACGACCTGCATGTTCAGCACATATATCGTGTTTCAAAAATTCCTTGTTTGTATTTGAAAAAATGTAAAACTGCAGTTTATATAATCATAATTACAATACACGCAGGTGCAAATCGTGTGATATTTCTATCTGATTAAAAATATTAAATTATTATCGGGGACGATTTAATGATAAACTAAGTTATCCTCTGACTACCTACAAATAATTATATAATTAAAATTAACCGATGTACCAAAGCAACCTTAGGATAATAATAGATACCATTATACCGCGCTGTATAGAAGGCTTTGCGGTATGGTCCGAAAAATATGTGCCTATTTTAACTTTGTCATAAATCAC